AAGGGGGGCTGGGAGTTTTAGATTTGGAGGCAATGAATAAGGCAATGCTTGGGAAATGGATTTGGAGATTGGAAAATGAGGAGGGTTGGTGGCAAGAGATTATTTATGCAAAATATTGTAGTGACAAACCTCTCTCTGGGTTGAGATTAAAGGCTGGTAGCTCTCATTTCTGGCAAGGGGTGATGGAAGTGAAAGATGATTTTTTTTCCTTTTGCACAAAAATTGTGGGGAATGGGGAAAAAACTTTGTTCTGGGAAGACAGTTGGTTGGGTGGTAAACCTCTGGCTATTCAGTTCCCTTCTTTATATGGAATAGTGATTACTAAGAGGATTACTATTGCAGATCTTAACAGGAAGGGGATAGACTGCATGAAATTTAGGAGGGATTTACATGGTGATAAGCTCAGAGATTGGAGGAAGATTGTAAATAGCTGGGAAGGGCTAAATTTAGTAGAAAACTGTAAAGACAAACTCTGGTGGACTTTATCCAAAGATGGGAAGTTCACTGTGAGATCCTTTTATAGAGCCCTCAAGTTACAGCAGACTAGTTTCCCTAATAAGAAAATTTGGAAATTCAGAGTTCCTTTGAAAATTAGAATCTTTATTTGGTTTTTTACTAAAAACAAAATTCTCACAAAAGATAATCTTCTAAAGAGAGGTTGGAGAAAGGGAGACAATAAATGTCAATTTTGTGACAAAGTGGAAACTGTTCAGCATCTCTTTTTTGATTGTCCTTTGGCTAGGCTTATCTGGAATATTATTGCGTGTGCTTTGAATGTGAAACCAGTTTTGAGTAGACAGGATCTGTTTGGTTCCTGGATTCAAAGCATGGACAAATTTACAAAAAACCTTGTGATTGTTGGAATAGCAGCTGTTCTATGGTCTATTTGGAAATGCAGAAACAAAGCTTGTTTTGAAAGAAAGCTTCCAAATGATCCTATTGAGTTAGTTTATTTGGCATGTAACTGGGTGGACTCTTGGGCAATTTTGCAGAAGCAGGAGGCAAGTCGAAGAAATTTGCAGCTGGGAACCAGACTTCTAAAACAGGTGGCAAATGATGTTTTTAATTCAAGTCATGGATGGAGTGGCGGCATTAGAAGAATCGGAGTAGGATGAAGGCAGTTGGCTGCCCCGGATTAGTTGTTAGCTTTTCAGGATTAGTTGTTAGCTTTTCAGGATCTATGTCGAGATGTGGTAGTTTACTGATTAGTCTGTAATGATCAGACTGAATGTTTCTTTTGTAAGCTACCAGATAGGGACCTGGTCTTCCTATCGGTAGTTTTTTCCTTATGTTCTATCAAGACTTGTTTGTAGCTACTGTTCATTTCTAGTAATGGAAATGGGGGTGTTTGCACCCTGGTTCAAAAAAAAAAATGTGGCAGAAACGAATAGACGAAGCAAAAATATCTTAAAAAACGCTGCAAAAATATCTTTAAAAACGGATAGATGAAGTAGCTCAGCTCATCTTTCTTTCTTTTGACCTCGATTCCGTACGCACTGCCGTTATTGGGAACCAGTAGGCTACATGGCGAATACCTGTCTGGTTTCCACGTGCGCGCAGCGTGCCTTGCTTACGGTTGTGCTTCTCAGCTCTAATGGAGTAAGTAGTAATAAGGAGTCGGCAACATAAGAGTTGTGTGTTGAACTCAAAATTATTGTTGATCATTAAAAAAGAAATCTCAAAAATTGATTATTTGTGGTATGTCTGCAACTTTAGACCTCACAAAAAGATGATGCATCGATCACAGTCACAAACGCGTAACACCACAGCAACTCGAATCGCCCGGTGGGTACCATTTGCAAAGCAACATCCTGATCAACCTGATCGCAAATTCGCAATTCTCAAATCCACAGAGTTGTTTTTTTTTTCAAAGACGAAAACACAAAGTTGATGATAATAACGAAGGGAGAAAAAACGACGCCCGGCACGCGCAGCGATCGCGGATCCCGCCACCCGCTCCCACCACCACTACCTCGATCGCACACTACAGTGCCGCAGCGTACAAATTATTCAGGAGCGCGACGTCGCGCGTGATCGCGATCAACCCGATGGACGGATCGCCCGATCCGTATACCGCCTCCCCCCGGAGCCCCTTCTCGTGTACTAGTCACGCTCAATGACGCGACGACCCTTCCCGGCCAAGATTGCCGCCTCCTCCTCTCCTCCGCGCGCGCGCGATCGCTAACCGAAAACGAACGCGCCCGCGCGCGTCGCGATCGATCTTGGTGGTGCAAATGCCGCCGCGACCCCGCACGCCCCCCCGCGCGCGCGCGCGGGCGAAGGGTGGTGGATTGGCTAGCTCTCCCCGTGTCCGACGCGGCCATCGTCGCGCGCGCGCGGCCACGGGCGAGTCCGAGAGTGCGAAGGAGTACACGTGAGGCTGACGCGGCAGCGATGTGTCGCCGGTACGACGTCGCCTTCTGCTCGCCCCCGCGAAGAGGCGGAAGTGTGAACCCGGATTCAATGCGCGAGGAATTTCTTCGCGTCGGCCACACCTCCAGGGACCCCGCGCGGTTAATGAACCAAGGAGCAGAGAGACCGAGACGAGAGCGAGGGTAACATGGCACCTAGTAGAGGCTAGAGCCACGGGCCAGCCACACGCGGGGACACGGCTCGCGTCGCGTCGCGATCGATCGATCGCCGCGGCAGCAGAAACGGGAAGGGTTTTTTTTTTTTGTACGGTGCGTGACGCAGGATCGCACGTAAATTTTGCTCTCTCGCGTCGTCGTCGTCGGAGCATAGCGCGTGCGGGTGGATGGCACGTAAATCGTCGCGCGTCGCTGTCAACCAAGGATACTGCGATATCTGGAGGCTATAAATGGTCGCGCGAGCTCGTGATATCTCCCATCGGTGGCTGCGATGGAGAGCGAAACAGGGGAACGCGAAGTACGTTACGATCCATTTCTTCCACGGGCACCCGGTTGGTTTCAGACTCCTTTGCGTCGCAGAGCAGCGAGCTCCGTTTTACGGCTGCCGAGATTGTGGTTCTTGGAGGGGTTTAGGACTAACCAAACGTGCCCAGATAAGGATGAAGGCCGCGCTGCATTGAATGGGGAAATAGACCGGTCGAAACGACGTACGTAATGGTGACTACTCCCTCCGTTCCAAAAAAAAAGACAAACTCTGATTTCCGTGCCCAACGTTTGACCGTCCGTTTTATTTGAAAAAATTGTGAAAAAAATTAAAAAGACAAGTCACACATAATATATTAATCATGTTTTATCATCTAACAACAATGAAAATATAAATTATAAAAAAATTTCATATAAGACGGACAGTCAAAGTTGGACACGGAAACCCAGAGTTTGCCTTTTTTGGTGACGGAGGGAGTACTGACTTAGGTGGTGTTTAGATCCAGTGACTTAACTTTAGTCCCTGTCTTTAGACACTAATTTAGAGTATTAAATATAGACTACTTACAAAACTAATTACATAAATAAAAGCTAATTCACGAGACAAATTTTTTAAGCCTAATTAATCTATAATTAGAGAATGTTTACTGTAGCATCACATAGGCTAATCATGGATTAATTAGGCTCATTAGATTCGTCTCGCAAATTAGTCCAAGATTATGGATGGGTTTTATTAATAGTCTACGTTTAATATTTATAATTAATTTTCAAACATCCGATGTGATAGGGACTTAAAAGTTTTAAAATTTTTAGTCCCATCAAGTCATCTTCGTTTTTTATTTCCCTGTGATCTGTGAGCCAGTGAGTCTAGTCTAGAGCGGTTAAACGTCAACAATTGCTGTGAGGGTCCGGCTGCTTGCTCTGGGTTGGTCTGGTTCTCCCGTGGATTACTCAAGGTAAACGCCACTTTGTGCAAAATGCGACTAGTTGCCTGTGTCTGCCGCTCATAAGCCACCACCTTTCCATCTTTTCCAACATAGGACCTGTAGATCTTAACGCTGCTGTCTGCTGTTATTTAGAGTTGTGAGAAATGAAGAATACGCTTGCACGTAGCACGTACGGACGCAGACTTTTTTTTTCCAGGTGTTTGAAACGCTGGACGACTTAAAAGTGGTACTAGTAGGATAGAAATATCACGACGGAGTGCCGTCAGTAGCAGAGATAGGAGATCCCTTCACGGAACGTCAAGGATGAAACTGACCGTGCGGGTTTTAAAGGCCAAACGTGTCATCACATATCAGAGGTGAAATTTTTAGCGAGGCCGCGCTCATCATGCACGGCAAAGCATGCTCCATCGTCACATCGGACAAGATTAACCAGCGTCGTGGAAGACTAGAAGGTCCAGCTTTGGCTACGAAAAACCTGACATTACGTTCTGGAAGTGTCAGCTGCTCCTCTTTTAACGTCTCAACAACAGGTGGCTAGAGATTCGACATGCTCCTACACGATAGTAAATGACCAAAGAAAAGCAGCAACGAAAGTGCAACAAGCGGCCAGAGGACCCGCTTCCAACAGAAAACAGAAGAAAAATCCCAAACCATCTGAAATGCGCCAGGTTGCTGGACGCACCTGCAAGGCTGCAGTCGAAACGAATTTTCAGACGCATATGGCCCCGATAGGTCGCAACAGGCAGATACGTATGAAATGAAGGCATCCAAATAAGCATTACAGCACATGCTGCCAAACGAAATAAATCACTGCTCCCTCCGTTCCAAAAAAAAAAAAAAAAAGACAAACCCTGGTTACCGTGTCCAATGTTTGACGTCTTATTTAAAAAAATTATGAAAAAAATTGAAAAGATAAAAGTCACGCATAAAGTATTCATCATATTTTATCATCTAACAACAATGAAAATACTAATTATAAGAAAAATTTATATAAGACGGACAGTCAAACATTGGCACGCAAACCCGCGGTTTGTCTTTTTTTTTAGAGGGACGGAGGGAGTAGAGACTAGAGCGACTGCCATTAATACTGTAACATGGAAGCTTCTGAAATCACCACAGAAAGGAACAACGCACTCAGATACGGAGATTTCTTCTCGCTCCGTTGTCCACATAAAACTGCGAACTACTATATATCTGCATAGGCTCTAACTCCAAGAAGTAAAACTGGAGCAACGTTAAAGTGAAGTAAGCTCAAATAAGTATCCAAAATCTTTTCTCCAATACGCTAATAAAACGCCATTAGAAATCTCCCTGCAGCAGCTCTGCCGCAAAATCACACCTTGCCCCGTCAAGTATCTGAACGCATGGTTAATAGTGCCACAATTTTCCAAAGGTAATCAGACCTATCCATGTGAAGCATAGTGTATGTACAATCCTGATAGCAGTTAATTACACCTTAATGATGTTAAAAGTAAACCTTGGCACAAGTTTCCCTCTGATCCGTAGCTTCATACATCGCTGTGATCAGCGTCATCACCCTTGGCATCAGCAGCTGCACCAAATGGAGTCACGTGTGACGGATGTGGAACAGGAGGATATTAAAAGTGGTCAAAATAGAACACCTAGACAGAAACCTCGGAAACCAACAGTTAGATTTGAAGTTCTATTGAGATGCCCGTGATAGTGCGTGGGCAAGGGATGTGATTTCAACTCCAAGGTTTTATATTTAATTCTCAACACGCTCACAATTTCTTATAATTATTTGATAGCCAAGCGCCTTCTTGGTTGTCCTAATTTTTTTTTTAAGATTTGAAGTTCTACTAGCAACAATTACTACTGTAAAATTTCACTTCGGTACTGTGCCTCCGCAAGAAAGTGCACTATGTTTTAGTGTCAAACATAAATACAGAAATGCACTAATGCAGTTGCTTACCTTGTTTACTTCCTGGGCAGCAACATGCAAAGAAATCTCCTAATGGTCTCTCTGGGACAGGGATAAGCTTTCCCACAAATGCCAACGGCCAGCTGCATAAAGGAGATCAACCAGGTAGTGAAGTACAGTTCAACACTCTATGAGAACAAATCTGAGAAAAATAGTTGAGACAACACGATTTTCATACTTCCAGAAGGCAGATGTTACAACTATACCAAGATCTGCCTTTTCTTTCACACGAGCGAGAGAGCTTACCTAAAAAAGGCGAGACCTATTGACACCAACCACAACTGCCAGGTGAGTCTGGTTGTCGATGTAAACTTGCCAAGGAACTCAACAATAAGCGCCTGCACATTAACAGATGTGAAGCCAATAACAGATCTAGATCAATTCAGCTCCATATAAACAGCTATAGGGCCCAGTAACAGATATAGTAAGGAGGAATTATTACGGTGGGTTTTCTACCTGCAGTACAACTGTTATGGCAACAATGGCCATAAAGAGATGGTTCCCAGTAATGCCCTTGAATATGTTCAGCTCATCGGGCTTCCTAGCATTGAATTCATTGAACACCTGAGGATGAAAGTATTATGTTTTTTTTTTACGTGAGAAGGTAGACCATTTCATTGATATAAATGGATGTAAGCTACATGAGGAAACTGGGGGGCGGGGGAGGGGGGTGGTTAAAAGAGAAATAGTAAAACAGTGGTAACTCACCTGACAGAGAACAAATGTATTGAATATGAAGGTATTTTTGACTTTGTCTGCATGTGCCTGGTTGTCGTTTTTTAGCTGCAAAAGGCTTGTGCCCCTAAAGTTGAGAGTAAGGAGGACTATAACTTGAAACAGAGCCTGAAGGAAGAACAGATGGTCAATTGAAAGCGTTTGAGATATTTAAATTCAAATTGGAATACACAACAGTACCATACCATTATGATTAAGTTTCTCCACATGACATTTGTTATCAAGGGTTCCCTGAAAACAAGGTAACAAGGTTAGGACAGCTTCAGCATGCAGAAACAAAAAACTCTGTTTGAATTGCACATTGAAAGGTATTAGCAATTCCTGGCACAAATGGACATATAAAGTATCACACAGCTAACAGTACAGTACTACCTAAAAGTCAACAGCACCATCTATTCAATAACGGAGGTAGTATGAAATAGACATGATTATACAGATTATATTAGATCAACTGAGTATGATAACGACATAAAATCATGATCAAACAGCCTTTATAAATATCTCATATTTCCTGGTCTACATGAGATTAAACAGTTGTCTGTGTAAATTAGTTCAGGACATTAGGCCAAGAGCTCATTATTCATTTCGATCGGGTCCTGTTCCTTTAAATGAAATCTCAAAAAAATTATCTCCAGAAACCAAGCAAGACAGTTGTCCAGCAAGAACACAGAGAACAAACCTTCTGCCAACTGGTGGTCTCTGCATAAGATGGTCAGTAGGTGGTTCTGTCGCCAGTGCAAGAGCACCCAGAGTATCCATGATTAGGTTAACCCACAGTAGCTGCCAGCCAACAAGCCCAAGCAAAAGAGAGAGAATATTAACCATAACTTCCGTGTTATCTATCAGTAACAAACAGAGTATGAGCTCAAACCTGAACAGCGTTCAGGGGAACATTCCCAGAACTGACAGCAGCAACAACGTTAATAATCAAGGCTGCAACGTTGACGGTTAACTGAAACTGTATAAATTTCTGAATGTTTGCATAAACCGAGCGACCCCATCTGACAACCTAAAAGCGAGAGAAAAGAATACTATAAGTTGCAGTCATGGAAGGCCAATAACAGAACACAGTGTACATACCCTCACGACCGATGCAAAATTGTCATCCAAGATGATAATATCAGAACTCTCCTTGGCAACTTCAGTTCCCTGGATGCCCATGGAGAGACCTATATCTGCCTATTAAGTTCAGCATTGCATAAGAAAGACTGGATTATGGTTGTTGAACATGAAGATTGTTTCTTTCAAAACATGATGGAACATTAGTCGAGAGATAAACCTCATGCAAAGCTGGGGCATCATTTGTGCCATCTCCAGTCACAGCAACAACATGACCTCTTTTTCTTAATGCTTTAACAAGTAAAAGCTTGTCATTTGGTGAAGACCTCCCCATCACCTGTAACCATTTACATAGGGTATATTTAATTGTCGAGGTGAAGATAGACAACATATACTGAACAAAAACCGACCTGGTATAAACTAGGCACTTGAATGCATCTATTCAAGATAACAGACTATTGATGTATGCACAAGCATAACACAATAAACATACTCTCCAACAAATTAATAGTTCAATATGATTTGGAGAGTTATGTTATAATTAGTTGGATAAGGTGATTGCATATGTTTATTCCTCAGAAAGACAATGATACAAGTCAAAAAGTTCCAATACAGGACCAGGAGGGTCTAATGTTACGTTATCAAGAGCCTTAGCCTGCATGTGAACATGTGCCAACTTTTTTCCAAAATGAACCAAGGTCTGTGCATAATCTTTGTACATATTGTTTCTACTCGTCTGTAAATGTATAGGAGAAGCCTCTCCTATGGATTACCTTTAGAAAAAAAGAAGCTGCTACATTGTAAACAATACACACAACCCGCTGTTTATTTAAAAAAATGGGATCAACCTAGGAGGTTTCGAACTTGGGTGGTCTAAACATACACCACAACATCAACCAACTAAACTAGGTTCAGTTCCTCAACCCACTATTTATTATCAACGCAGGCAAATTAGAAATGTGTCCTTTATTCGACACAGCTCATGCAAATCATCCGCATTACTCATGGCAACTTTTCTTGTTTGCCATGTCATACATCTCCTTCCAAATTCATTGTCCATGATCATGGAAAATGAGAAAGGTTAGCAAGAGACAATAGCTTACCAGTTATCAGAAAGTTGGGTGTTGATAGAGCAACATTTCAGGGTATTTTGTGGCTACTACTACATTATATGCTTGCAGCAGTTTAAAAATACGGTGTTAACAGTGGAGGGTACAGAAATGTAGGAAAAACAGTCATACCGAAATCTTTTCTGCAGCTTCTTCCCTTTCTAAATCTGACAGTGCACGAAAAGCCTTTCCTTCAATAATGACTGGCTCTGACACATTGGGATCAGATAAAATTCCACACTCCAAGGCAATGGCTCTGGCAGTTTGAAGGTTGTCTCCAGTAACCATGCGGACCTAACAATCCAAAAAGAAATTGAATGTAACTTATCAGATTTATAGCTAACATCCCCTGAAGAAGCGAAGTTAAGTAACACATCTCTTCTACGTTTTAGTTACTAAGAGATAGCAGAAAGTAATATTACCACTGACTCACAGAGCAGGATTACCACAACGCAACATTACCTTAATGCCAGCTGCTGCACATAACCGAACAGAATCTTTAACACCCGGGCGGCAAGGATCCTGTGAAGCAATCAAACAAACCAATCAGCAAGTACTTCCAAATTATAGCAGTTCTACAAGTTTTGCTAGTTTCCAGCACATGGCACAATTGGTAGCATGCTAAAGTAGTCTGAAAGATCTGTTATTAACAGATTGTCATTATCCAGTACAAGATTGAGTTAGGTAGACGGCTGTGTGTGTGTGTGTGACAGCTGCAAACACAAATTCTCTGAAACCTCAAGCAGATTACTCAAGTGCTTCATGTTGAGCCATCAGTAGTGTTTCATGGTTTATCTCTTGGGTCAGCTGCCTGTTGTGCTGTTTCCCAGGACTCTGGTCAGTGACTGTTTGGCATAAAAGCGCATGTCTGGAAACTTAACTCCCTACAGCTAGTTGTAATCCATCCCGTGTATTCAATCAGAAAACAAGATGGCAATCATAAATGCAGTTAGTAATTACAGAGTAGTATCACAGTATGGTGCTGCCAGAACAAGTAAAACTTCTACAGTGGTCGTGGTGTAGCACTTTTTCAAAGGGTTCATGGTTGCCGTTTGCACCTGTACTTGTGAGCTCTGACTACTAGTAACTATCCAACCCAATACCGACAGTGTATTATTTGACAAATTGGCTACAGGGAACAGAAAAACCATGAAGCATGCAGTCATAGGAGACAAAGAAACGGCACATCTAATCAGAGTTATGCAGTGAGTATACGAGGAATTGCAATACAGCTCGTGCAGGAGAAATGGAAGGCACAACTACCAAAATAATTACTTCAACTGCAGAGTAAAATGTACATTCGCAACTAACCTTTATCCCAACTATGCCAAGCATAATCAAGTCATCTTCAGGCAATATCCAATCAGCCCTCCGGTCCTCACTTGGGACATCAACCATCTCATATGTTCTATAAGCAAAGGCAACACACCGGAGGCTCGAAGCAGCCATATCTTCTATGAATTTCTTGAATTCACTAATCTGAAGCAACTAATTGTCACCAACAAAACCATAATATGAAAATAAGTGAATTACAAAAGATTGAATGGATATTTACTTTCTCAGGTGTCATTGAATGCTTTGAACCATCTGCAGCAAGCCAGCTTTTGCATGAATCCAAAATAATTTCTGCAGCTCCCTTCCAGTGTATGTGTACCTCAGACTCAGAGCCACCCTCCAGAAATATAAAGAAGAGCATTAATAAATCTTGAAATGAACAGAGAAAAGTAATGGAGTGAATCAAACAAAACATACTGACAAGCTAACAGAACATTTATATCTGCTTATGGTCAAACTTCTGTGAAATTTTTTCGAGCCTTCAATGCAAGAATGCAAATGCTTAGGCGTAATTCCAGGTAATAATTAGATATATAAACTTGACAGATATATACTAGGTAAAACAAACATGAAAATGTGGATAAGAAAGTATGCTGCAAAAAGGGAACTGTTTCCAAAATGTCAACAATTTAACTAACTAGGACAACATAATTGTCAATAGTTGACTAGGCATGCCAATAGTTGACTAGGCATGCCATTTTACATGGTAATGTACCATACACAATAAGAAAAAAAATAGGGGAAGGGGTCTGTCAAAGTTGCAGATATTATGAATTACCAGATGCACTGCAACCCCGCCTCTTTTTTTCTCTGAGTTGAATGGGAAAACATGAAGAATAGAGGACTTTGTTCTTGTGTCATTGAATCTCATGCCAAGCTGTGGAAATATGAAGAGCATGGTCACCAAACAGAAGGCATACAAAAAATCTAGAATCTGTGATTCAGCTACTAAAATAGGATTGTATGTGTACCTTCAGCCCCCAAGACAGTATAGCCTTTTCGGTCGGTGATCCAGTCACCTCTGGATCTTGACCATTCTGCAGAGGTAATTGAATTTAAGCCACTAGTCACCAATTTAATCGAGAACATGACAGAAAACAAGTGTTTGGTCTCATGGACAGTAAAAGGTTCTTGTTACATAACCACAAAGTTGGGATGATCGGGTGAACACCAACAGGAATTAGAGCAAGAGGGGCAAATGGAATGCAACAAGATGCACAGACAAACAAATGCAGAAGTGCTATAAAAGTATAAGTGTAACCTCGGGCTCAAATATGCTTCCAGACGTATTCTGAGCAATTCCTTCGACAATCAATGATGAGATTGAAGCAGATAACACCTGAACATTATCTGGAGGATCCATTTTCTTTCCACCAAAGTAAGCCTCCACAACAGTCATCTTAAAATTGACAAGAAATAGGGAATAAGTCGTGGCTGAGCAAATTTCTGGAATCATGGATCATCTTTGTATCCACCGAAGTGCACAACATTGAGAATATGACAACAGCACCCAACCTGATTCAAAGTCAGCGTTCCTGTCTTGTCGCTGCAAATTGTTGTGGCTGAACCCATAGTTTCACATGCAGAGAGCCTCCTGACCTATAAGCATTAACCCACTCAAGAGAATGCATTTTGCAGGAATAACAAGCAAGCACAATACCAACAAGCGAGCATACCAGAGCTTTGTCCCTCATCATCTTGCGCATAGAGAAGGCAAGCCTGACACAGATAAGTACAGGTATTAGGTTGCTGATAAGGGTGCAAAGTAAAATACATTATCAAATCACACTTACGTCAACGTGACGGCCAATGGTAACCCTTCAGGAACAGCCACGACAACAATTGTTACCTAGTTACATCTCAAGTTGGTAAGATAACAGAAAATGGAAACACCAAAGCATCAGACATGTACAATAGAGTCTACACCTACCGCCACTGTAAATATTCCTACTATTCCTCGTATTGTCTGGCCTACACCCATTTTTCCTTTCACATATTGCACTGACCCATCAGGGTTATAGGTATGCCCAGTGAAGTACCTACAGGAAAACAAAGCGACACATATAAATAAATAGACATTTTGTTAAAACAAATATAAGCAAACTCTACCTGGCCAGAAGGACAACAAGAACGGCGAGAGCAACAGAAAGTCCAACCATTCCAATGAAGGTGGCAACACCGTTCAAGCGAACCTACTCCAGAACAATAAATTCATGTCAACTCATGAACTCGTGCAAAAGTCAACAAGTTAAAAAATCAAACCTGCAAAGGTGTTTCTTCACCAGAATCTTCAGAAATGCTTGCCATTAGCAGTCCCCATTCAGTGTTAATGCCAACTGCGGTCACCTGAGCATTTAAGAATTTATGCATATTTGAGATAGATCAAATTGTAAAACCATGTAACTCATCAGTAATCAATGTTGATGCTACTACAATTTTACTACTTCATAATGTACATATATTTAGAAGGTGAAAGTAGCTGTGCATCCCCTCCATTGAGGCATTGAGTACGCAGACAGTAAACAGAAAACTCACCAGCATAGTGCCATACCCGTCAGCAACTTTACAACCAGACATTAGGAATGGTGATTTCTGATCTTTGTGAACCTTCAATTAACCAAAACTTTGCAGTGTGAGCTTAACACCTAAACCATATTAGTTCCAAATTAACCAAGGAACTCACAATTTTACTCTCTCCGGTCATGCTGGATTCATCTACGGACAGGGAGTGACCACTGATAAGGATCCCATCAGCGGGGACCTGGCAAACAAATTATAATTATCCACAATTTATATTGGCAAACAAATGGTTCAAATGACAAGCTCGATAGACTATGCACCTGGTCACCAATTTTAAGTGGCACAACATCACCAGCAACCAAATCATAAATGGATACCGAGATTCGCCTTCCACCTCTAACCACCTGAAAGAAAAATTGTCAGGTGTGAATTAAGAAACAAAAGAAGTACTGATTAAAAGTATCTGGAATTTAACAACCTCCAATTTGATGTTCTGCTTTTCCTCATTAAGATTTTGAAACTGTAAGGATTGCTTGTAATCGCTAGTTGCTGAAACAAATGGCAAACGTTAGAAGCAAATAGATTTCAATAGATCGCAGATAACTACAAAAAGTTTCAGGACACATTTATTTGAGTTGGCTGGACAAGTCCAAAGCACTACACATATTGTGTAATTAGTCCATACCATCAACGGTTTAGCATTCCCTACTTTATGCCAGTAGGTGAGACATTACTGACAGTAATGCAACAGATAAACCTTCTAAAAGTGGATTAACATATTAATCGACCATAGAAATAATCAGGTAAGATGATTGATCTAACTAATTACATACCTGTAACAACAACAACTAGGAGAACAGCAAAAGCAATGCTTGCTCCATCATACCAGCCTTCTTTTATCCCCTACACACAAAAAAGGAGTTAATTAACTCCAAAAATAATGAAAGTTATAGCTACAAACCAAAAAAAAAAACAGCGATAAACAGTAAGTGGCAAATGGCCAAGCAAACATCAAAGGGAAAAGAAACAGGATGGCAGCTAGACTTGCAAATATACAAATGCTGGATGAAACTGGACTAAATTTAGTGGTTAATGACACCAGGCAAATAATAATAACAATAGGGGGCAAACAAGTCAGTGAGACAGTAAGAGATGATATTTGGTCAATTCAGGAAGCAAAGAATTGAGTAATGAAATCCTACCTCTGTTGTTATGCCCAAAGCAAGTGATACTGCTGCAGCAACCATGAGAATGATAAGTGTCAAATCTTTACAAGCATCCCATAAGAAAGCCTAAACAAAAGTGTCAGTACACCAATAATGAGCATCAAAAAGGGAAAAAATGCTATACAAATATTAAAGAATTCTCAGCAGTCAGCATACCAGGAAGCTTCTTCCTTTCTTACGAGGGTATGTATTCGATCCAAATGCATTTCGTCTTGCAGTCAAATCTGAATCATCTCCACTAATCCCCTTCTCTGTGTCTGTCTTTAGCATGCGCGCTACCCCAGAAATCTGTGGACGAAGTCACAAGGTGTAAACTGTTTTGCACATACATGTAAGGACAATGGCACAAGAAATACTCACCCCTCCATACTGTTGTAGAGCAGAGTAATTGTGATCTCTGGTCAATGCAGTAAGTTGGTCTTCTTTGATACCAAAGCCCAGTGCACCATCAACTGGCGGTGCTGCAAAGTCAATATTGTAGCAAACATTGAGTAACAGCGAGAACAAAACATACAACCCTTCCATGGATGTACTCTAAATTCTTATCGCTATCATATAGCAACTGCGCTCCAGTAAAGCATTCATAGATGTCCCACTTCTAGAATATATGACCATTGCAAACCACAGGCAACCATAGTGACAAGAAAATAAAGTTTAACAAGTTACACGAAACTCTGATATATTATCGTGCAGAACATGAAAACTCTGAACCAAATATTGAATATGTAGAAATAGAAATAACACCTGCCACCTCCTTTTGCTGAACGTGGACTTGTCCTGCTTCTTTAAAGCGGAATGCAGCCTGAAGAAGGAAATCAAGACATCAGCTGAAACTAAGGGAAAAAAAAACAAAAAAAAGTAATGATATTCACCCTGACAACATGAGCTTGTGCACGAATTTTGCTTATAACTTCCTCCCTTTGTTCCTCCCTTTTCAAGTCCAATGTGTATCTAAAGCGCCTGGATGCATTGAGTACTAGAGCTGCTTGCTGCAATAGAAAGAAGGGTGGACAATTAGATACAAAATACCAAATACCAGTCAGTAAGCGTAAAACTTGATTGAAGAAACAATTAAAATGATGCTCTGCAGAGAAAAGATCCAGCAGCTTATGGTGACCAGCAAAGCACACATCTCTCTTATTTGCACGAAAGCATAACATTTTATGGACATGAATATAATTATCTTGACATGTTTTCTGAAGAGATAGATACACTCAGGTATGCAAATCCCTGCGTCGACCCCTGAAGCAGCAGCCAGTACAAGACATACTGCCAAAAACAAACTAAATATAATCTGAACTTGAAATTGAAATTTTAACTACTGTTTTTTCGCAAATTCATGTTTAGGTAAATTATTGTATTACATATGCCGGAGCTATGAAATTTTACATAGCAGCAATGCAAAAGTTTTGAGTCCAAAATTCTGAATTCATATACCAGCTAAAACATCTGTGCTAAATAGCCGCTTACTAATTTCCCGAGGGACCGGTATTCAGAACCTTGGATACGACACCCAGCCCGATATGCAAATACAAAGATTATGCCAGCAATACAATCTTTAGTACAGAATGCACAGATGTCAAAAGATCGGCAAACTAATATTTGATGTTGGATAAAGAAACAAAACAAAATCACCCGGAAAACCCAATTGCGAAGCAACAACTTGTGTGCATGAGGCTCAAAGCTGGTACACAACAGGGGCGAGTCCAGCTACATTCATTTGTTTCAAACATGTCCAGCGCTCCAGGCTTCCAGCTAATTCCACCACCTCTATTAAATATCGTGAATGAGATGCAACAGGGCCCAGTTATAGTTATTAAAAGAGGACACAGAAAATATGGAGGAATCATTAAAGAATAATAACGATTGTTTCGTCCTTATGAGGGTATTTGGAGTCCTGGAGTAACTTAACAAAGTACATACACAGTTGTGATCTATAAACAATTGGCCCACCGATTAGACTAGTTGGGTTAGTTTTTTAGGACGGAAAGCACAGGCGTAGGCTACAGAGTAGCAACATACTACCAGCTCAACTTTGCTACGATTAGCCGCGTGGCGCCCTAGAACATTCTCATCACAAAGAAAGAGCTAAACCATATCCATCTTAGGAAATGTTAAAGCGCCCACAGGTGGAAAAGCTCAAGAGAAGCGATCCAAATTTAACGAAAGTCCAGGCGCTTAAAAAGCAGAGAACAATACAAAAGTATTCGTGTTGAACAAAGCAAGTGAAAGCCCGAACAAATTCGTGTTGAACAAATCTGACGGCATAGTCCGTTACTGGAAAGGTGTGTGTTCAGAATCAAATCTGAACAGATGTGTTGGTTGCTTTTGCACTCATCAGGGGTCCCACGGGAAATCGGATCGACGATGCGAAGAAAAAATGCAACTAGCTTGATGGGTCGCGCACTCAGAACAGTGAAATTTTCACACGAGGTATATGAACGAATTCGTCGAAAATTATGGGGTAATATCTCATCAAAACGATAGTGAAGCTAGAAACTCCCAAATCTAATCTGAAGTGAAAGCGTTAAAAGGGAGAAAAGTAAAAAAAAAACATTAAAAAGGAGAAACACTGAACCGTCCACCGATGCAATCTCCGCTCAAATGTCGAGAGTCGAGACAAAATCACGGGAAGCCAGATCACATGCACATGATATCTCACTCACCAAGTCTTCCTTAAATAATTACTCCATATTTTCCGGGAAAAAAAATGACCGACCCAGCGAGACGTTCGAATTTAAACCACGGACAAATTTAACATTCGTCTAAACACGAAAAATCGGAGGCGAACAATGACAGCCTTGCGCGTAGCGTAGACACCTGTATTCGAAGACAAGCAGCCGCCTCGGCGGTTCAAATTCTCAACCAAAATTCAACCGGTTCAGAGAAACTAAACTGGGTTTCGCTAAAAAAAAAATACAAACGAGCCCTAAACTGCTCCAAAACCGCTCATCGCGAAGCCAAATCTGCGAAAAAAAAAAAACCACCAGTATCCACTACCAACATCACCGGAGCTGCGCAAGCATAACATCAAAATCTAGCTGAAAAAAAAAACAACAACTACAGCTGAGAGCCGGCGGGTGCGGCTTACCCGCCATTTTTTGAGACTCTCGACGGGAGCACCCTTAGCCGGGATGTCGAACGGGTCGGCGGCGGAGCCGATGCTGCCCCAGCTACCGCCGCCGCCGCCGCTGCTGCTGCGGCGCCGCCCGCTGGTCGCTAGTGAAGACGACGCGGACTCCATGTCCGCCGCGGTAGCTCGCAGGAGAGATGACACCGACCCGGCGACGAGAAAACCCTAGAAGAGCTCACCACGCGCGGCGCGCGGCCGCCGCTTCACTTGCGGAGAGGTGGGGAGAGAGAGAGAGAGAGAGAGGCAGTCTGGCCGCGGAGGAGAGGAGCGAATGCCCTGTGTTGCTTTTGGGGGGGAGGAGAAGGCCTGTTTTTTTTTTCTTTTTTGACACGGAGATCGGTTACCAAGCGAAAAAAAAGGGAAACGAGGAATTCGTAGAAGGCACAAAAAAGATTTTTGGATTTTGCGTAAAAGGTATTTTGGGAAATTACACGCGGCCAGTGCCAGGTACAGGCCAGGTGTTCTTTGTTGGGATGTGCCACTGCTGCTCACTGGTTAGTGGGCCAAACAAGCTGAAATATTTTAATTGCAACAAAATTTAAACATAATCAGTAATTTTTTTCTGCTCTATCGATATGACTTCGAGTTGTCTATTGCGAGTCATTAAAAAAAACTATAGAATTCCACTATCTATAGAGTCCCGAGTATTCTCATTGTGACCAATATTTGGCATCATTTCTTATTTGTAGGTCAAGTTGCATATAATTACTTCTAAATATGTATTTGTACATCTCCCTATAAATTGTCCATCTACTTTCGTGATATTGGTGGTGGATGGTGATAAACTATTATTGGTGTTTATAGATTTATTTGATTTGTTGTGAAAAATTTGGCAAGCTAATATTTTTCCAAAACTCAACCCAAGGTTTATAGTAACTTTATCAAAAAACTGCTAGCAAACCTTTCTTGCCCGACTTTTGCAATTGCCAAAGTTGGGTAGTGTTTCTTTTGGCATAAAGTGGACGAGTCGCGAAATTCAGAAATTTCTTATGACAATTGTATTATTTTTCATTGTTTTAAACATGGTATGCTATGGTGGCAATGGCACATTCCAAGTGAGTATTCTCTCCGTCCTAAAATATAAGTGATTTTGGACGAATGAGACACAATCTAGTACAACAAATCTGGAGAGGGAGTCTGTCCAGATTAGTACAATGAATCTAGACACAAGTCTATCTAGATACGTTGCACTAGTATGTGTCGCATATAATCAAAATACCTTATATTTGGAATGTAGGGAGTAGTAATGCTGTAAAAAAAGCTAATTTTAACTACAGGAGTGAATATCAAAAAAGGCAAAAAAAAAAGGGTTAAATATTAGGAAAGCCTGCAGAGGAGTAGCTAGCTAGGAAAGCTGTCCAAATACCGTGTGTGGGCTTTGTAGGATTGATCTTGTTACGTGAACGATGTAACGAAAACGAATTTCGAATTTTATGATAACAATAGCGTGAATAGCTAATGCGGTCCCTGAAGTTTCGCTTCAGGCTCAGCTTAGTCCTTGAGATTTTAAATAATCCAAACAAGTTCTCCAAATTAATCATTTGGTTTAATATAGTCCTTGGACCCATAAAAAGTGACATGCAAGCACGCCAAATCATCCTCGCATACAGAGGTATGAATGAAATGGACCATTCTACCCTTATATACCATATATAAAAGAAAGAAAAAAACAAGATAAATGTTTCACATGTGTATGATCGTTTTAGAATTGTCACTTATGATTGTTGTAGCCAAGCATTGATCGTGTAATTCCTTTGTCGGCCACCCATCCGTAACAATGCTAGGCCTGGGCTGGCCTATTATTTTTCTGTGTCTTTTCTTTCTTTTTTCTATATGGTATATAAAGGTAGAATGGTCATTTTATTCATACCGCTGCATGCGATGATAACTTGGCGTGCTCACGTGGCACTTTTTTGGGTCCAAGGACTATATTAACCCAAATAATTAATTTGGATGACTCGTTTGGACGATTTGAAACATCGAGGACTAAATTGAGCCCGAAGCAAAACTTTAGGGACCATACTGACTATTCACCCATAACAATACTTCAAACATTAATGATCAGATGACTGACAAAAAGAAGGAAAAGTGTGGTAAATTTCATATTTGAAATTCGAAATGAATAAATGATATTAGCTCAAATAAGAAGATCGCGCCATTTTAATAGAACGGATTATCCGGAATCGCAGCAACGACTTAAGCTGAGGTAACCCGAATGGAAATTCTGAACTGGAGGGGTGTAATTATCGCGCCGTTTCGAATAATCCGGTGAATCAGCAGGCGTACCGGGTCGCCTCCCGTACGTTACCACACTGATGCGCTGGATCTATTCGAACTTTTTTTTTTTTTGAACTTTACTCGACCTTAGGCCCCGTTTGGCACAGCTCCAGCTCCCAACTCCAACTTACCTAGAGCTGGAGCTGTGCCAAACGGTACAAATTCTTTGTTTTTTGGAGCGGAGTTGGCAGAGCAGCTCCACAAATTTGTACTACGGGGGTGGAGCTGGGTTTTTGCTGCTCCACAGCTCCACTCCACCCCAAAAGACCCACTAACCTTTAAAATTTTGATGTATTTACACAGAAATGCCATTGAACTACCCCTAAACTCCTCCTCCTCCTCCCATCCTCTCTCTCCTCTCCCATCTTCTCCGGCAAAATTCGACGGCAACCGGCGGCGGGCAGGCTGGCGGCGGCGGAGCACGGGCTCGGCGGCGGTGTGCGGGCTAGCGGCGGCGCGCGGGCTCGGCGGAGGCGTGCGAGGTCGGCAGCGCGGGGGCTGGCCGACGGTGCGCGGGCTCGGCGGCGACGCGGGGGCTGGTCGGCGGGCGGCGGCGCAGGGGCTAGCCGGCAGCGCGCGACCTGGCGGCGGCGCGGGGGCTGGCCGGCGGCGCGCGGGCTCGGGGGCAGCGCGTGGGCTTGGCGGCGGCGCGGGGGCTGGCCGGCTGGCGGCGGCGCGAGGGCTGGCCGGCTGACGGCGGCGTGCCGCTTGGCGGCGGGGATTCCTTTTTTTTTCTTTTTTTTTCAGATCTGGAGCTAAAAGTTTGCCAAACACTTTTGATGGGTCTGTAACTCCAATAGGAGCTAGCTCCAACTGGAGTAGGAGTTTGGAGCTGGGAGTTGGAGTTTGGAGCCCTACCAAACGGGGCCTTAATTAGAGTTGAAGAAATAATCATGCATTGTTCGTGACGCTGTTCCATGTGGCCCCTCGTGAGGCATCCATCATGCACGCGGGGGCCAACGTGGCAGATGAACTCTATCGACGAATTTTTCGATCGATCGGCCAACGCACACTCGCTTGCGGAATCGAAGAGAAACGAAGCATAACATGCTTCACCACCGTGGATGACTAATTAGTTAGTGTGTGCCCATGATCCCACTACGACTTTGATCGAACAGAATCATGAGAGTGATCATACAAAAAAAAAATCATCAGAGAAATTAATACTACCAGCTAACAACAACCTGAGAGAGAAGTAGTGCTAGTTTGGCAAGAACAATGCCAGTTGCCACGCTCGGAAACGGGAAATGCATGGATTTTTTCGATCTTGTTACAAGCAAGAACGTACAGGATTTCGTTTGGAACACTTGCAACTTTTTTTGCATGTAAAAGTTTAAAGTGTAAAATGTATCTGAAACTGCCTAGCCAATAGGAGCCTAAAACGGCCAAAAGCTGGGCCCTGGACAAGTTCCCACGGAAAGGAAGCGTGCCATGCATGTGGCTTTGCTCAGCTGCTTTCGAGATTGGCCGACAGCTACACGTATGCTCCTAAAGCTATCTGTTGCGTATCCTTGATCTTTGTGGCACCCTATACGTGTGTAAGCTGTGTGTAAGCATTGAGCAAATTTCCGTCTCGGTTTCATCTTCCATGGCGCTTTTCTCTCATCCATGTATGTAATGCTGCCACGGAAGTCATGTGATCGTTTTCCTTTCGGTTGCCGTTAACCTTCGATTTCTAAAAAAACAGCACACTTGAGACCGTGAGAGAGACTGGAGAGAGTATCAACTGGGTGTTCTTCTTTTCTTTCAGTGACGGGGATTCAGATCGAAAGCAGTAGCTGAAATCAAACCGGCCTAAAGCCGCGGAGAACAGATCAAGCAAAGGAAATAGTAGTTGCAACAGATCAAGATCGAGGCCAAAGAAAGCTGGTTCGGCTACATAAGCATATCACAAGTGTCTGATCAACTTGGCACGGAAGGAAAGCACAAGCCCCAGGTCGAAGCAATGTACTGTAGCACACTAGTTGGTAAAATAATCGTGCTTTAATTTGCTTTCGATCGGGTCTGATCGATGGTAAATATTCGATGGCATGACATGAGAGATCACCATCTAAGATATGATACCACTACGATAGGGCATATATATATATATATATATATATATATATATATATATATATATCTTTACTCTTTTTTCCCATCAAACCACACGTTGCGATCGTTAAGAACATCGTAAACTGATAGGCAACAAGCCATGAAGAACAGTGGTTTCTGAGACATGTCAAAAAGGAGCACGGGTATACATATACGATAAATCTGTTACAATTGAGCACCTTTCAATCTCTCATTGCATGTGGCAAATATAGGGTCCAACATATTTTCGTTGTTCAATTGATGATCATACCATATTGGATCGTATCAAAATCGTACAAACTTTATCATACTCACAGCAATTTTCGTCAAAAAGGAAAAAGGAATGTATTGAGAAATCAGCGCCACATTGCCACTAGCCGTGCATTATCCTGATTCTTCTACAGAGGAATGGGCGAATGATACACATAAGCTTTGCTTTGATCGATTCCTGGCGGCGTGGCTAGCAAAAGAACTACCACATGGAAACGATTGACAACGTGCGGAGGTCACGAATAAGTGAAAAAAACGGGTGTAAAGGATCGTCGAAACTGACTGATGTACACAATAGCACAATCGTCATCAATCTGATTCATTAATTAATAGCTTTAGAATGGCCCGGAAGCGATCCGGTTAGCTTTTTGTTGGGATCGGACTACTATACAATTTCGATCACTCGCGATCATGAAGCGAAGAATGTCTAGTTCCTGACGTATTCTCGCGATCTCAGGAGTAGCAAAGGCTCCCATCGGTTGCCATTTTACCCAAAATGGCTTATTTGGCTTATTAGAAAATTAAAATTAATTTATAAGTAAAACTTTTGTAGATTTGTTCGTAGCGACTTAAAAGCCAACATTAACAAAAATTACGTTAAAAGCATTTCAAAATCAACTTCAAAATCAAGTTCAAAAATTCAAATTTTGGCTTATTCTTTGGCTGTTTAGGCCAAACGATGGGGCTGTTTATAATGCTGACAGGTAGCCAAACATTGTTGGATTCGAATCAGCGATCGTTTTTGGATGCGTACGTGTGCCTGTTTTAACCACTGCTATTAAACTAAGATCGCGTGCCGAGGTGACACAAGTACGTGGCAGCAACAGCTGGCACTGAGCCATGCATGCTGATCGTTACGTGGCATTTCGGTTGGTGATCGAACAGAAGTGAGAACTGATGAAAAGTCCAGCGTGGACGGTGTCGACGAGCCGAAAGTGGAGTATAATCCAGGGCTAGTTTAGATTGTAGCCAAAATAAAGCTTATTAAATTTTAGCATCGTCAAAATATTAGTAAGATAGTAATATTGTTAAAATTTTAGCATGAGGTTTTTATGTATTTACTAAATTTAGAAAAAAAAACGTAGATATTTTTTTGTAATTTTAAAAAAAATAATATGGTTAAAAATAGCATCAAAGTGAACAGGACCCACGTTGATTTGACAAATGGTGTGGATATATGACTAGCGAACGGCGTTTGTATTCTCCTCCTTTCCGATTTCTGTCGCTATTACAACAAAGCCACAAAGAGGATTTAAGAAATTATGTACAATTTGAACCCTATTTGACGGAGCGTGGGGCTCCTCACCGGGAGACCGCGCCGGCCCCCCTTTGCCGGTTCGGCCGGGGACCCTGGGTGAAATTCTAAGCTCCTAATCTGTGGAAGGTTCACGAGAATGGAAAAAACACAAGACACGGGCGATGTATACAGGTTCGGGCCGCTGAGAAGCGTAATACCCTACTCCTGTGTTCTGGTGAATCTGTGTATGAAGAAGCTACAAAGAGCTGGAGAGCTAGAGAACTCTAACTCCCTCCTTCCTTTCTCGTTCCGAATCCCCCCTCTAAGTGGGCAAGGTCCTCCTTTTATACCTCAAGGGGATACCACATGCACCATCTCTCTCTTTTGTGTGGGGACTTATCCTATCTTTCCTCCAACTTGACTTGCCTTCTCTTCATGAATGGACGGAGATTTGTATGGTTGCCGTCCGAATGACCTTCTGATGGGACGGCCCATACCTACCTCCACTTCCGCCGGAAGCAGGCGCGACGTGGGAACATGGCTGTCTACTGACGACATGACCAGTGTCAGACCGGTCACAAATCGGTCATTCTTGTCCACCACGTGTTAGTTTAGCAATCTGCATGTTCGCCCTTCTTCATACAACATCTTGCTTGTAATGGTTAGGATGAAGCCTGGCATATATCTGACCGGGACCAACGTGCCATCTCCAGGAGGTAACACGCCGGCTTCGGCTAGGGACGAGTGCTTGGAGGCTCTCATCCTGACGGGATGGGGCGAGGCGTGTGTCAGACCGCTTGTCGCCACCTAACCCACGATCTGATCGGTCTGTGACTGGTCACAGACCGGATAAACGAGCGCGCTGCACTGCGTTACATGCGGCGTGACGCGCTCGTCCAATCCGCAATAAATGCGGTTAGGTGAGCCCTACTGCGCTCACCTAACCCATACACGCGGCGCAAAACCTACAAGGGGTCGGGGCACCTCAGCCCTCGGGGCCGAAACGGGAGCGGTCCGACCCCTCGGGGAGACAAAGAGGGGGGCGGCCACATCACCCTCGGGCCCGACCCCCCCGAGGGGGTCAGGCCTCGTGGGTGATTGCTCCTGCCCAAGCCTCTAGTCATGATACTCCCGGTCCCATGTCACCGACACTATTAGACTTTTTCATGTGCAATTGTTTGAATAAGGATTAGAGCTTTTTAAAACATACAATTTTTTTAAGATATGGCTCAATGCATTTTAAATAAGGGTTAATTGGATCATGTCATTACAAATATATAATTTTAGATAAATACCACCGCTATTCACGATATTGGCTACACGCCACCAGGAATTAGGAAAACTGGAACCGTGCCACTCTATCGCGTTTTCCGTCAAAAATCTCTGTTAGCATAGCTGCACGTGGGGAACAAAAAAGAGAGGATGGAGGAAGATGGAACTGACATGTGGGTCCCACGTCTATAGGTCTAACGGAAAACATGACTGGCACGGTTCCAAATCCCTAAAATTCCAATTTGATGTAGCCGATATCATTAATAGTAGTGTCATTTATCTAAAGTGGCATATTTGTAGCGACATGGATCCAATTAGCCCTTTAAAGAAAAGTTAGTAAAAATTATATCCTGTTAAAAATTTTCTTTTGCGTGTATCTCTCATATCGGATTCATATATTTCCGTATTATCTATTCATCATTTATCTCCTATGTTTTACTATTTATAATTTTAAAACTATATTAATATCAAAATCTTCTTATTTTCATAATCCTACGATGAGTATAAACGGGTATGGCAACACACTAAACTAATGACCCATTTAAATAGTAGGAATTGAAATACGGACGAATAGGAAAAATTACATTATTCTAATAAGATTCAAACAGAGGATTGCTAAAAAAAACTCACAAAAATGACCGTTTGATTTAAAAGCAGAAAAAACACATGATGACTGAAGTGAGAGAGTCAAAGCAAATTTTTCAATAGGTTGAAAGTTGAAACTCTTACTTAGGTGGTATTTAAAACTCATGTAGATAAGGATGAAGATAAATGGTCTATTTAGATTGTAGCTAAAAAAATATCAAATTTTAGCAAAGTTGCCAAATATGTGCATCCATTTAGTTTTTTTTATCAAGCTCTCGTAGATACATAAGAAATCATGCCAAAACTTGGTAATATTGATAAATTGTTAAAATTTTAGCATTGCCAAATTTTGGTAAGGTTCATTTTGGCTATAATTTGAACATGCAAAAAATAAGCGTTTTACACAAACGAGGTGGTACTAACGTGATTAATTGAGTTTTCATTATTACAAACTTAAAAAATAGATTAACCTAATGTTTTAGATCAACTTTCATATAGAAAGTTTTCACATGAAACACGCCGTTTAACCGTTAAAAAGCGTGCTACGAGTATCCAAAATATTATCCATTTAATGTGTTTCAATAAGCTCCGTTCGGCAAAAACTAACTTATGCTTCGAGGATATAGACTATTAGGGTGTGTTTAGCAAATAGGATTTGAGATGTGGGTTGGGAAAGGAAAATGGATGAATGATTAGCATTAAATGATGTATAAAAATGGATGGCTAGTACTACCTCTGTTTTTTAATAGATGACGCCGTTGAATTTTTTTTAATAAGACGAATGGTCAAATATGTGAGAAAAAGTCAACGGCGTCATCTATTAAAAAACGGAGGTAGTATATAATATCGTGTTTTGGAGGGTGGAATATTATTACTAACAAAGCCTTGGTAATATCCCGTATAAGTACGCAATCAGCGAAGTGATGCAAACACGTGTCCCGGTCACGAGGACCACGACCATGCCTTGACTGCGCTTGTAGTACAGGGTACAGAAAAGGACGAACACGTATACGTGTCGACTGTCGAGAGAACGAAGGGTGCTTCTCCATTCTCCGCGGAGCGGTGTGTCGCGGCTCGCCCTCACGGGAACGCGTGTCGGCTGGAGGAGCTGTGTGACTACGACACGCTGCAGCGCAGTGGTCACGTGGCGATGCAGCGGGTGATGCGCCGGTCCACGCGTATTACAATATTCTCTCGTCGAGTACCAACGCCGCCGACCCACGGGGCCACAGGTGCTTGCTTCTCTCTCTCTCTGCCGACGTGAACACAGCATCGGACAAGTACATAACCAGCGAGCCCACTTGGTGTGCTCCCTCCGACCTCCGTCCAGCTTCCCACTAGAAAATAGATGCGGCCTTGCCGCACAATGCACCAGCCAGTATGAAATATTCCATCCGTTATATATTGATCATCAATTGACTAAAATTAAAAATTTCAAATTGATTATTATATAATGTTGGTGTAGTATTACTACATTTAAGCATGAAAATTGGGTTTGCATGCATGCATATAGGCATTTGAGGTAGTTAAAAGTGTGCATGTTTCCTTATTCTTCACCACCACTTACTTAAGTTTTTTTTTTGGTGAAAAAACTAATCAATATGAAATGGAAGGAATAAATGATATGGTCTTATAAGTACATCTATTTTCTCTATCTATTTAATGCTTGAAATTATGGAAATTTACCCTTTTATTCATATATTAATTGAAAGCAGCAAAACATTGAGATGATGGACATAAGTTGGAAGACGAATACGTGCGTACAAATTCTGAATTCCAATCATCCAAAGTAATGAAACTACTTATTTTCCCTCCACATGTCTATAAGAATCGAGGAAATCCATTTTTTTAAAAAAATAATTTTATCTTCTTATTCCTTAAATATAATGTTGTAAGTCCATAACATTAAAAAGTTCAAGTTACACAGTAAAGGAAACTAATGAATTGATTATTTGTTTGAAATTTTGGTACTCAAGGAGTATAAAGTTTGCATCAAGCAGGAGCAAAAGATGTGGTAGCATTCTTTCTCCAAAATTTTATCTCAATTTCCGTTAGCACACTTTTTAAACTATTAAACGGTGTGTTTCATATAAAAAAATTATATAGGAAAGTTGCTTTAAAATATCAAATATATCAATTTTTCAAGTTTATAATAATTAAAACTTAATTAATTATGCGCTAATAGTTAGTATCTCGTTTTGCATGCCCGCATTTAATCTAAATCTTCGTCAGATTCGAACACAGTATTCTCGTTTACTACTTCTTTCTATCCTGGATAAAAGATTGCAAAGAGGCCTGGCTTTTTTTTATTATTGTCCTTCCCAGTCCGCAGTCCCCACTCTCGAGTCTGGACTCCTCCGCTGCTCTCCACTCATCAATCTACTCCTCGCTCGACCTCGGTGTCTCCGTCTTTGCCGCGGTGCCGCCGTGTCGCTGCTACAACGGCCTTCAGTCTATGGCCTTCTTCGCAGGAAGCTCGAAGGCGCCTGCATCTGCAAGATTGAAGTTGCGCCGGCAACATGATCAGCAAAGAGAAGTCTGCGATGCGCTCCCTGTCCCCCACCTCCTGCAATCCCTCCTGCTTCTCGGGCCAGCGGCCGGATCCGCAGCCCACGATACCTTCGCCCGCCGCATCCGGAAGACAACTCCCATATTCCCAAGCCGATGTGATTATCGGCGCAAAAATCTGGTAGTGAGCTTTGGTGCTGGACAAAGCACCAGTGAGTGTGAGTTGTGCGATACAGCTAGCGTTGCTTGCGTCCATTCACTTGCTCTCTGCCTCTTTTGCTCATTTGCATCACCATCCAGTATGTATAGGCTCGGTGATTTTGGTACTCACCTGCAGGCAGGCATGCATGCATCCTACTTGGGTATTTTCCTCTCTGCAAGTTCAACGAAAGATCTAAAGAGAACCAATGATGCTAGGGAAGACACTGCTTGATTTTCTTTGCTGAAAATATCTCAACACGTGCCTTAATTTAGCACCAATTGCAGGTAATTTTAACCAGTTCTTTGGTGTTCTAAATGGAAGGAGTATAAATAAAGGACACGAGCGGGTGGTTCGCCGCGGCGTCATCGGCCGTGACGCGCAGGTGGCGGAGGATCCGGCACGGCGCCACCGCTCACTCGCACACGCCGCCTCCTCTCCTCCTCCGCTAGCTAGCGCCCCTCCCTTCTCCTGATCCAGGCCGATGGCCAGTGCCGTCCCTCTTCTTTCTCCCCGGGTTCAATGGATCTGGCAAGTCTGTATTGGGACGGGCGTTCTCGAGGGTGACTCCTGCCGGTGAGATAGAAGCGTTGAGGAAGGGCAGCAGCATGGCCGGCGGGGAGCACAGGGGAGGGCGAGGTGGCCGGGTGAATGTGAAGAAGACGAGCCCAACGCCGTTGAGGGAGAACATCAGAACATGAAGCGGGTGGTCGGCCGCAACGCGCGGGTGGCGGAGGAGCCGGTGGATTAGGGTCGAGCAATTCTGCAAATAAAAAATACAGTAACTCCGTAGTTTTACGATGAGGTCCACCGCAACGAACTTTAGCCGTCGATACTTAATCAAACGGTGCAGGAGGAGTGCCAAGGAGACACGTGGCAGATTTCTAGAGAGGTGAAGCTTGATTTCCAGAGTGCCACGTGGCCAAATCAAGCGCCAGGTTTCGGACCCTGCAATCGATATATAATATTTGCCGGAGCCGCAACAGCGAGGCCATGAGGCCCATGACGCGACTGGAAATACTCCAGGACAGCTCGCCGGCTGCTGCTCTGCAGTGCTATATACTCTCAGGCTGTGTTTGGATAATGGAAAATAGGGGGTGGGATTGGGATTGGGAAATGAATGAAGGGTTAGGATTAAATGAAAGAGGGAGAATGAATGGTTAGGATTTAAAGATGTCTTTTTGTGGGTGGGAAATTATTTCCATTTCCCATTAGCCAAACATTGTCTCAATCTGTTCAAATCCTTCCTCCATATTCCCTCGATCTATTTTTATAATCATATTTAATCTTAACACACAAACTAAGGATGAGTAATTCTACTTATCATCCATTTAAACATGCTATTAGTTATTACTCATAAACAAGTGATTCATTAACATTTACAGTTCTCAATGCCAAAGTAGCCAATCTTACATGAAAGAATAGAGAGTCAAGCATTAAATTCGAGAAAGTCATTTAGATGATAGGTTATTGAATTGAAATATGCCTATCAAAAGTATTTTTTTTCAGATTTGGTAATATGACTATAAAAATAGATGGAAGGAGTATAATTTAAATCTTTTCAAAACAAAGAATAATTTAAATCTTTTCAAAACAAAGAGAATAGGTTCATTTGAGTCTAGATTTATTCATATTTAAATATTTTTTGACAGAAAGAGTAGACTCCACTGAGTTTGCAAATTTAGTATGGGAGAGGACCTTCGTCCCTTCATATCTCTGTTTATCCTAAAATGACATAATATTTTTTTCTCTTTTCATTTATTTAAAAATACATATATTTTTAAGTTATTGTATTATTGTCTTTTTTATTAGTATGCATGAAGTGAGTGTCAAATAAACTTATTTTTAAATTTGAAGAGTATATCAAGTATCACGTCTCATCTACTTCCTCCGTCCCAAAAAAAAGACAAACCCTGGGTTTATGTGTCCAACTTTGATTGTCCGTCTTATATGAAATTTTTTTATAATTCGTATTTTCATTGTTGTTAGATGATAAAACATGATTAATATTTTATGCATGACTTATCTTTTTAATTTTTTTTCATAATTTTTTCAAATAAGACGGATGGTCAAACATTAGACACGGAAACCAGGGTTTGTCTTTTTTTTTTGGGACGGAGGGAGTACCCTTTATGCTTATCATATCATTCTCTGATGTCCGCGGCCGTACGTATTAGCCACGAGCCCGGTGTTGAGGGTATTGGATAACGCAAGCCAATAGATTATTGGAGTTATACTTTTTAATTTTTCCCCCACGGTACGTGTAGCTTCAATTTTACTAGTCCATTTTTTTTTTGAATTTACAAAAAATTTTAATAATAGGTATTTTTTAAGAACGCCCAACTCAGAAACTTACGTGAAGTCGCTTACATGAAGTCGCTGGGATAGACCTAAGCTAGTAGCAAGGCTTAGGTCGAGATAATGGGCAACGTCTGGCTTCTGCATTCTAAGGTGAATGCACACGACCAAAGCTCATGGTATTCTCTACGCTCTCAGCTTAATGTAGTGATAGGGCTTGTTTGGTTCAATACCCTACCAAAATGTTGGTAGTGCCAAAACCTAGGCAAGTTTTGGTACTACCAATTTTTTGGTAGGGTAGAGTTGTATTTGGTTTGAGGCCAATTTAGAACCAAGCATTGAGTAGAATATAGAAAATATCAAATTGGGCATTGGCAATGCCAATGATTTGGCTTCAAACCAAAATCACCAGATACACTGTTCAAACTACCAAAGTATTGGTAGGGCACGTTTTTGGCACTAATCCAAAACAGCCCATAATTTATGTTGCTAATGAGCTTTTATCCTGCTCCTCCCCTTTCCCCTCTCCATCTTCACCTCCTTCGTGGTGGTCTCGGTCTTTTGGACAACGAGGTGAGTTGACACGTGGCCTCGGTAATCGAGGACCGTGTCGACGGTCGATACGAGAAGTTCGGAGAGACGGTGAAACCACTATTCCTACCTCTCTTTTCTCCACGGCAACACTGTTCCTACATCGCGTGGGAGCTAGCATTGTGAATGCCTTCTTAGGCTGTCTTCGCTGTCGGTAGTTGGGAACATGTCTCTAGTGCACGGAAAACGGAACGGATCATTAGTCCGTGATTAATTAAATATTTGCTATTTTGTTTTTCAAAAATCGATACATATGATTTCTTAAGCAACTTTCGCATAGAAACTTTTTATAAAAAAAAATACACTGTTTAATAGTTTGAAAAGAATGTGCGCGTAACGCGAGGGAGATGGGTTGGAACTTGGAAACCCACACTGCCGAACTAAGCCTTAGGTTGTGTTTAGATACATGAGTGAAAATTTTTACCGTGTCACATTGGATATACGGACATACATTTGAAGTATTAAACGTAGTCTAATAACAAAACAAATTACAGGATCCGCCTATAAACTGCAAGATGAATTTATTAAGCTTAATTAATCCGTCATTAGCAAATGTTTACTGTAGCAAAAGATTCGTCTCGCAACTTACACACAATATGTGCAATTAGTTTTTTTTTTCTATATTTAATACTCTATAGATATGTCCAAACATTTAATGTGATAGGATGAAAAAACTTGCCAGGGATCTAAAACGCCCTTAATCTCATAGAGCTTAATTAGCCGAGACGCGTACAGGATGAACGACAGCGCTAGCAGTGTGAAGTCGGTGGAAACGCTTATCCGTCTCGTCCATACGCCGCTGTGGATAGTGGTGTTGAACTGTGGATTGCACGTCCGGTACGATGTCGCCACACAATCCACCTATCCGCCACATCCACGCGGAACACGACCCCGGCCTTCCCGGGCTTCCCCGGCCGCATGATCCGACCTTCCGCCGTCCACGTCCTCCCGGGCCACCGCTCGCTCTCGGGTGAGATAGGAGAGCCGAGAGCACGGGCTCGCTTTCGAGTGGAGACATCACCCATCTAAACAGGACCAGGACATTAAGTGCTCTCGAGTATGGTGGATTTTTCAAAGATTTAGTTCGATCAAACTGGGTGATGAGGCCCTTCCTTGCCACATGTACCTGCAGACTTACGGAGTGGTAGTTGGATTAGGCCTAATCAAATTATTACTCCTTTGATAGAGCAGTAGTAGTACTGTACTGCTAGTCACCTGGACTTCGAGCCTTGCTAATTAAGGTGATTAACTGATGATAGAGATGCACCGAGAGTTGTTCAGTAGTACAAAACGTGAAACTATGAAGTTGCATCTCATCATTTGCTTATTGTTTTGCCGGTCACCAAAATTTAAAAGTTAATTTGAAAGTTGATGTTAAGTTTCTTTTATCGTAGTTGATGTTAAACAAAACTATAGAGATTTTACCCATAAATTATTTTTAGTTGCTGTTCATTTTTCTCCACAGCTCGCCAACTAGTGACAAAAAAAGGTTCACTTTAATTAAACTAGAAATTTCCCTCGAGTTTGGCCGTGCGTAATGCTAGGAAAAAACCCTTCACCGGAAATGTTTTCTGATATGAAATGTTCTTTTGTAGCAACAACTGAGATAAAATGCTAACCACACAGTTCGGCAACGTCCCCTGGAAATGGGAATGAAAAAAAATCGGATATGCTTTTTAGATGAAATGTTTACCACTCTGAAATGTTCGTCAGAATCGCCATACAGTTCTGCGACGTCCCCTTGGGAATGGAAAAAATATTTCCGGGATATCCGGGTATGGGCCTTCATAATTTCTTTTATAAGAAAGTTTTACGGCCCATGAATAAAGTTGGGTATCCTGGTATGTTTTAAGTGGAAAAGGTTCAATTTGACTCCCTTGAATATAGGCCGAATCTGATTTGTATCCCTCAGTTGCAAAATAAGGAGTATATAACTTTTCTAACTATTAAATCCGTGCAAAATGAATCCTATGGAAGTTGAGATTGCGAGCTTGCCGGAGTCGCTGGCTTGTTGGGGGTGTGGAAGAAGAGGAGGGAGGAAGATGAATGCTTCCCACCGTTAGATGGTATAGTTTACATGTATGGTTGAGTCTTATCTCCTGAGGTCTTGGATCCTTATCCTCCCGATTCTGTTGCTATAAATCGGTAGAGTGGTTATGGACAGGCCTATATATGTAAACACTCCAGGATTAATCCAATCTTCGTTGAGTTCCTCCGTCTCACACCCACCATGTGGGACCCACCATCATTACTATTTCTTTTACTATCTTAAATACAACCTAAGCGCCATTAGTACAAAACCATACGGGGAATGAATTTGCAACGGTTTTTGTAAAAGTTGATACGTTATACCCAGTTTTGGGGTTGAGAGAGAGAATTTAATTAGAACAGAGACATGGAGAAGGAAAATAAACTTATCTCTATCCTGGCATGTTTTAAGTTGGCCACCAAACTGCAGCGTGAATATTTGAAACGAAGGCCCAAAGTATTTCCGGCCCAAATGGCCCGTGTACAGGTCCAGTCCAGGCATGCTGGCCCATCCACCCCCAAATTCCATCCAATCACAGCCGTCGGATCACCGTCCCGAACCCTAGCCACCACCAAACCCCCCCTACTTAAGCCCGCCTCCCACTCGCTTAGCCGCCGCCGCCGCCTCTCCCCGCCTCCCCACTCCCCGTCTCCTCCTCCCTCACGCAGCTCGTCGAGGTAAGAGCTCGTCGCCGGTAGCCATTGCCGCCCTGCTCCTCTCTGTTCGCTCGTCGCCCCGTCCCGATCTGACCCTGGTGGGTTTCGCTGTTCGCTGCGCAGATGGCGTCCGAGGCGGCCAAGGTGGTGGTGCCGGAGTCCGTGCTCCGCAAGAGGAAGCGGGAGGAGGTGTGGGCGGCCGCGAGCAAGGAGAAGGCCGTCGCCGAGAAGAAGAAGTCCATCGAGAGCCGCAAGCTCATCTTCTCCCGCGCCAAGCAGTACGCCGAGGAGTACGAGGCCCAGGTTAGATCGTTGGCCCCCACATGATCCATTCCCGTCTCGATGTTATATTTTGCGTGGCAAAGACAGCGATTCCGTGGGATCTGGGTTTGGTACTCCCAAATCAGGTTGTATTCGATGAATGCGAATTTCGCTTGATCTTATACTGGGTGAACACGACGAAGATTCATTCATTATTCGTAGCATTGCAAATATTTATGCTTTGAGACAAATCTATGTTAGATTGCCGCTCATCGTTAACCCACAAATGCGTTTGCTTGGTCACCCTAATGCTAGTTTTCACGTGTAGTGTTGAAAAGCTGCATGTTCTGCTTCTCGTGTGTTCCGTTGCAAGTTCCAATGCAAAAGTACTGCTAGTGAATCATGCTGGTTTGGGAAATTGTCAGTTCTTTTTTGCGATATACCTAATGCGTTAGGTCATTTCAGAATATTTTTATTGCTGTATCTTGATATGGTAAGCACATAACTCTTTTTGAGTTTGTAACTTCGTATGATAATAGTAGTTGCTTATATATGTTAAAACTGTTCGCAGTCAATAAAAATTGAATAAGAATTGAGCAGCCTGTTGTACTTCATTCTAATGTCGGTGTGATGAGCAGGAGAAGGAGCTGGTGCAACTTAAGCGTGAGGCTCGGATGAAGGGTGGTTTCTATGTCAGCCCTGAGGAAAAGTTGCTGTTTGTGGTCCGTATCCGTGGGTAAGGAACCACTTAAGTTGTATTGTTATAATGTCACTGACTATAGATGATGATCTGGTTGTATGTTGATGCTAATGTTACAAATCTGTTGACTGTAGTATCAATGCCATGCACCCGAAGACCAGGAAGATTTTGCAGCTCTTGCGTTTGAGGCAGGTGGGTGTGGTTTTCACAATCATTTGAATGCACGTGTTGAAATTATGATATAGTACTGTCAATTGAGGAAAAAATGTTAATTTTGCAGATCTTTAATGGAGTGTTCTTGAAGGTCAACAAAGCCACCATTAACATGCTGCGCAGGGTTGAGCCATATGTTGCATATGGGTAAGCTACCATAATTACATTCGAGCCTAATATATTATATATATGCACCATCTTGCTATTTTATTTTGAATTACCATCTGTTGTTTTACTAGAAATGTGATCTTGGCATTTACTAGAATAACTGGAACATTTCACAATTAAAGGCTTCTAAAATTGCTTACACTGAATTTGTGTTATTAAGTAGCAACTGTTTGCATCATTGTGTTCTGCATCAAAATCATAACAAATTGTAGTCAATCAATTTTATATTTTAATTTGAATTGTCTAGGGTCTGAAATAGTTCAAGCCCCTAATGACTAGAGTTGATTATTGATCTTCTTACTAGATTAGTGATTCTTATGTTTTAGGTACCCAAATTTGAAGAGTGTCCGTGAATTGATCTACAAGAGGGGCTATGGAAAGCTCAACAAGCAAAGAATCCCTCTTACAAACAACAAAGTCATCGAGGAGGTTTGCCACCTTGAATCTCACTTGTTCTGCTTTTACTGTGTCAATTGGTACCTTACAGTCTTGGTGTTTGTATCAGGGTTTGGGTAAGCATGACATCATCTGCATTGAGGATCTTGTTCATGAGATCATGACTGTTGGCCCACATTTCAAGGAGGCCAACAACTTCCTCTGGCCATTCAAGCTGAAGGCACCACTGGGTGGGCTGAAGAAGAAGAGGAACCACTACGTTGAGGGTGGTGATGCTGGTAACCGTGAGAACTACATCAACGAACTCATCAGAAGGATGAACTAGTTCCATGAGCTCATTGTTAGCGCACTGTGTTTGGATGATATTTTAAAGTAAGCTTATTTTGCACTAGGAAGTGTATCAAGAAAATCTTGCAATTTTGATATTCAGAATCTGACCCTTTTATCCGGTGGTTTGATGTTATTCCTAAATTTGAAGTGCTTTTAATCATGATATGCGAACATGTGTTAGTACTTATTATGGCTCTACTGCCTTTGTGTTGACATCACGGTTGCTGTTCAGCTCTTATGCCATTTATACAATGCTTAGCCTGAACATGTCCCAACTACCAATGTTTATATACTAGTTCGTTGTACCATTGTAACTCTGGTCGAGTGTTTCCATTTGACACTGTTTAGCACTAACAAAATGAGTTGTCGAGTTATAATTGGATGTGAGAGTCAAATTGGTTAATGAAGCAAATGAACAAACAGGAAACATATTCAAAGTACTCAGCGCGAAGACTGAGACTGATGAAAATCGTATTCTGCAAGCTGATGAGCACGGTACGGCATAGTTATTCGTCTTAAAAGCGGGGACTCAAAGACCAGAAATTACATGAACCTAAAGCACAAAAGCAGTTCAATTTGCTTTGTTATGTTGGATACTCCGAAGTGATGGGACGGAGGGAGTATGCTCTTGATTTTGTGGGGATCATATATGACCTACAAATTGAGAGATATTTGTAAAGAGAAAACAACACATGTAATGCTTATGTATGTCTTGATTTTGTGGGGATCATATATGACATACATATTGAGAGATATTTTTTAAGAGAAAACAACACAGTAGATAGAATTGTTTTATTCAACATGCTCCCTTGGTTCCATTTTAAGTACAATTGTGGGTTTCTCTGTCTCTGTATTTAACGTTTGACTGTTCGTCTTATTTGAATTTTTTTATGGTTAATATTTTTATTGTTATTAGATGATAAAACATGAATAATACTTCACGCGTGACTTATTTCTTTAATTTTTTTTTCACATATTTATAAATAAGACGGATGATCAAACGTTGGACACGAAACCCACAACTACACTTAAAATGGTATGGAAGGAGTATGTTCTAAAAACAAATTGCTGATACGTATCCGGATCCTATGGTGATACTACGATCAATATTTCAATTCTACGGTATGTATTTGATGCTGACAACCTGGTTACAAGATTAGTTTTGCATGAGAAATATGGCCTGTTTGGGGGAGCTCAAGATTTTAAGAAGCAGCTGGTTGGTAGTCAGCTTTAAGAATCTGAAAAAGCTGGGTTTCCCAGCTTCTAACCTTTATGCATTTTATGGATTTTACAACTACAGCTTCTCAGAATCTGTACCAAAAGGTGTACTGTTTTAGGAGCTTTTAATTCTGGGAGAAGCTGCAGCTGACTAGAAGCTCCCTCCACGGGCCCATAGTCACCACGACACGATTTTAGTATAGCCTAAGTGCAACTTGGATTATGTAGGACTAGAAGTGTATTGGTGAATAGGAGTACAAGGTTTAATAATTACATTGCAACCTGGTTAGGAGGTTGCAAAAGAATCCATAATGAACTAGAACGTCAAGAAATTGAAGAAAAAGCTACCTGTAAATACACTCACCAGGTCGCCATGAGTCTTTGCTAGCGTGTCATCGTCTCATCGACGTTTCCTGGCATACATCGAGTGAGGGTTCTCTGCAGTATTGCATGTGCAGTACAGCTCACTGACATATGGGCCCCACAGACCCTCGAGCCCACATGTCAGTCGGCAGTACTACATGTGCAGTATTGCGGAGGATTTGAATTGGCATTCATCATGTAGGCGAGGGGACGGGTGAACTCATGACGAGATGTTTGGGAGACGAGGCCAAGGATGACCTCGCACCGCCGAAGTTTATCTATTTTGTCATTACTAATTATTATACATATCAATATTTTTTGATGCTCCATGTTGACTAACTAGTTTTTTAGAAATTAAAAGCGATATTCCTTTTTCTAAAAATGTTCTAGAATACTATGAAGTAATAATATACGTAGACATAGATGTTATTGATATATATAATTCAATAAATATCTATGAGTTTTATAGAAAAAATTGAGAGCGACATTTATCATGAATCTAATGGTCATGATGCAATATAAATTTATATCATTGAAAAACCGTCACCAAAATATGTTGCATGTTAGATACTCGCTCCATCCAAAAATAAGCTACCTTTCTAGTTCAAATAGAGAGTAGTTCAAAACACATACAAATGTATGTTTTTAAATACATATATCATAATTTATTTTATACATAATAAAAAATATATGTGCAATAATTGTGCTTCTAGCTTATTATTTTTATTTCCAAACCGGAATATTTCATATTTGTGAATGGTAGATTTGTTACAAGAAAGAGAAAATTACAGTTGACGATTTTACTGTATAGATTGACTCAAGCAAATATCACATATAAATACAAACAGAAGTTGTGAAAAAACTAAATTCCCCACTACATATATGCTTAACAAAATTATCATTAGATCTTATCTTATAAGAGTGCTTAATGAGTTTAAAGCTGGACATATATATCATTAATGAGCTGAAAATATCACACTTCAATAATAAATAAATAATTTAAATATATCATTTCCACTCTAACCACCATTCAATCAATCAAATTTTATTAAATTTTAATTATATTTTATAATATTATCAGTTTCTATTATATATTATGATAATCATTCTAAGGGTTAGTGAATGAATTAACTGATTCTGATTGGTGAGACGTGCAAGATTTAAACAATAAAACTCCCACATCATGAACATTATTTTCAGACCTTAATAAAATTGTACCGACTATGGATGATAATAAATCCTGGTACATTTATAGTTTGTGAGATTTGCTAGAATGACAAATATATTGAAATGGAGGGGTATTAATATTAGCATCATTTGTATTATGGATTTTGTAAACAGGGTTTGGGTAAAGACATTATTTGTATTATGGATTTTGTACATCAATTCACGGGATGTTAAAAACTAATTTCATTAAATTCTATCCGATAAAATTTCGCGTCTAAACTTGTGTCAATCCCTCCTTTATTCTTCTCCTTGTTATCAAAGTCATCTCCTCAAAATTTCTAATTTGAAATAATCTTATGCGAATCTACAAATAATCTTGTGTAAATCTTTGTCTCCTCATCCCAAATCCTGGTGTGCTGCTGCTGCTATTAGCTGCTGCCGCTGAATGTTGTTGCTGCTGAATGCTTGCTGCTGCTGCCGCTGAATGGTGCTGTTGCTGCTGGAATTAGCTGCTATGGCTGTTGAATGCTGCTATTAGCTGCTGCCGCTGAATGTTGTTGCTGCTGAATGCTTGCTGCTGCTGTCGCTGAATGGTGCTGTTGCTGCTGGAATTAGTTGCTATGGCTGTTGAATGCTTGCTGTTGCTGCTGAATGGAAATTTCTTCTGCTATTTAAAATCATCCGCAAGAAATTAAACTATATCCAAAACGCAACGGGAGCAAGGTCAATGTTTAGAAGACTATGTGCGTCCTTGAAAAATCTGGTCGCGCGAGCCCGACGCCCCGCAACGCACGGCTCTCCCACCCTGTTGTACTCGACACAGAACGTGGTCATGCGGATCGCCCGTATGCGGCCCTCTACCTCCGGTTCATCCCCGTGAACCTTGCATTTGCACTGATTTGCAGGAGAATTGTGCAACTTGGACTCGACCATGCAGAACCTGCTCTTGCCCATGTACAGCAGCTTGGCGGCCCGCAAGCCGTACTTGTCCGGCCGGAACATCATCTCCGAGCCGATCCGCGACGTGAACGGCCCACGAACGGCATCAGCCACTCGCCGACGTGCGTCCACTCGAGGTGCTCCGTGTCGAAGGAGAAGGTGTTGTTCCGGTCGCCGTAGCTGCCGCCGCCCCTGCCGTCGACGACCGGCTTCCTGACGGACACCCAGATGGTTCGCCGCCCGTCAGGGTGCACCGCGTAGGCGCTCACCCTGTCGGAGGTGAAGGGAGGCATCGAAAACGCGTTGTCGTCGGAGATTTCCTCCCAGGCCCACGGAACGTCTACGTAGCCATGGCCACTGCGAGGCGGCGGCTGGGCGCCGAGGACTTGGAAGCCAGGGTTGCACAGCCTGACGAGCCTGTCGCCGACGGACACGCAAAAGGGCTGAAGCTGTTCCCCGAGATTCTTGGGCAACGGGCAGACCATCATCGCCCTGGTCACCGTGTCGAACACCGGGATGCCGGGGATCACTTCGGCGGACACCGGCGACATCATGAAGATCTTGGAGCCGTGTGCCGTGATCCACCTGGAGTAATTGATCGGCGCCTCCACGCGGACGAGCGGGGAGGGCTCGTCGTCCCTGTTCCGCGCCTGGCACTCCGCTTCGGAGTCGGAGCCGAACTCGGCGTCAGGGTCGAACGAGCTCACGTCCACCCTGTAGATGCCGTACCCCTTCTCCCAGTCGTCCATCACAAGGTACAGATACTTCCTCTTCCGCCGCTGCCGCGGCCGCGTCGCCGGCGCCGGCCTCTCATGCTTGTTCGCTGTGCGCCCGGACCCGTGGCGACCCGACGAAGACGGCCGCTTGTCCGTTCGCCGGGAGCGGTGTCGGCACGACGGCGCCGCCGTCCCTTCCTCCATACGCCCGGATGAGCCGTGACGACCCGACGAGTACGGCCGCTCCTCCACGCTCCCTGATGAGCCATGGCTACTCGACGCTGACGACGTCCGCTTCGCCGAGCGGCTGGACCCGTGGTGGCTCTCCGACGGCGGTGGCCGCTTCGGCATATCGTCGATGTTTTCACCGGTGTGCCTCCGCTGTTCGCACCGCTCTCCGTGCGTGTGCGCTTACACAAGCAGACAAGCTGCATCCGTGGTGATCTCTGCACGTTTAAATAGCCGGCGAAAGAACTAGGCCTATGGTTGCCGGTAAGACTCGGACTCGGCGTCCCGAGCGTGGAGGGAGGAGTCCCGGCCCACCAAATCGGCTGCTTTGCACTTTCAGGCCCACATACTCCTTTACCGGTCCATATGATCAGTCCGAAACTCCTAGATTACCTTGTCGATGCGAACGAGCCGTTGGCTCGGTGGTTGGGTACGCTCGAGCTCGGCGCGGGTTTCGCACCGGGATTTTAATACCTTTCCCCGGGACTAGTCGGTCCTGGTTAGGTAATAGGGTACACACACGCGTGCGCGTTCAGTGGTACTGCACGTTTCCCGTGCACTGAGGCGCGCACGCGTGTGTGTGCGTGTGTCGTGGTGTTCCAATCTCAATCCTAGCGTGTGTTAGGAACGCGCACGCGTGTGCGTGCGTGTGTCGTGGTGTTGAGTGTGGTGTGTGTTTATGTGCGTCCTGCTTTGTACCCTCTCAAAAAAAAGATTACCTTGTCGATATTCTCAAGATTAATCATTTTTGCATGATCATTCCATTTTGGAAATAAAATGCCACTGAAATCTTCATCCCTCCAGAACATCTAGCAATAGATTCGCTGCAGGTTCCACTCTAGTAGTCTAGTTGTGTTGGGAAGACGAGGAGCCAGGCAATGTCGTCGGCGACCCACCTCCGGAACCTCGCCATGCGCTGCGCTCCGACGGCAGAGCGATGCCCATCTCGATGCCGCCGGAGCCAAAACGGTCCTCCGCCACTGACATGGCGTCGGTCTTCTCCACGGACACGACGTCCACCTTCGCCGCCCTCCCGAACCCGAAGTCCACGTCGTACACGCCGAAACCTCGTCGATGCCGGCGGCGACAGCGGTCAGCGGTGCAGGCCGTGAGGAGGCCCTCGGTGATGGTTGGTGAAGGACCGACTCTGACTAGTTGGGACGGGGAAGCTTTCAACCTTTGGCTCCAGCATCGTGAAGCTTTCAACAAATCATCAACGAAAATAATGAGCAAAACCACGATATAAGAAAATGAGAGTCCTCGGACGACGGACGGTTATCCTCACTAATACCACATTCTTTTTTCACTATGAGCATAGAGTGGTCAATAAAATATTGAAAAATACTGAGGATCTAGAAGATCAAATAAAGAAACAAGAAGATCAAGATCAAATGAAAAAGCAAAAGGATATTATAAATGAGCAAGTAGTGGAGTATTGGGTACATTGATAATCCATATATAGTACATGAGACTTTGATGGTGGGAGGAGTGGTGGTTAATTAGCACAAGATACCACTTGATGGTGGGAGTGGTGGTTAGCACAATATACCACTTAAGTTCCTGTTCAGATCTATATAAAATTTTATATAAAGTGGTGGTTATCACCTAATCCCTAAAAAAAGGTTTCATTGGAGAAGGTGATCACGAGAGTATGGCTCAAACAGATATTCTCGAGGTAAGAATGTGGTAGTTATATTCGAATGTAGATTTTTAACTGCTTGACAATGATACGAGGAGTGTGAAGCAAATGAGTGCATGCGCTTAATCCAACTCCATGTTTAATGTCGATTGGACCAATACTATAGTGCGCGACATCTTCTTCGTTGTCTCTAGTTATTGACACAAGAAGACACAGATTGAACTTACCAATTCTGATTTGTTCGCATTCATTTGTTATGTATTCAAATTCATAGATTAGGATGTGTCACATGTGATATTATGTTGCTATATTTTAGGACAAACGTATGGAATCCCTATTTGACAAATGTTTCATGTTTGTCTAGAGAATTACATTATCATTGTGAAAGGTCTAATTTAGTTCTATACGAACACTAATGGAAGATAAGGTCAAAATTGAATTAAGTTATTATGAATAAAGCAAGAGGCCTATAATTTATAGACTTCACCCATAATAAGGATTCAAAGCAAACAAAAGCCTCAAAGGATACCAAAAGATTCAAAGGATTAGATTTTTTAGGGTAATAAATTCAAAGTTCTAGAATTCAAGCAAAATACTTAATTATTTTTGCAGATTCCACTCTAGCTAGTTGCAGTGGGAAGACGAGGAGAGCAGGGCGATGGCGTCGGCGAGCCACCTCCGGAACCGCTCCATGCGCGCCGGCGACAGAGCGATGCCCACCTCGATGCCGCCGGAGCCGGAACGGTCCTCGGCCACCGACATCGCGTCGGTCTTCGCCACGGACACGACATCCACCTTCGCCGGCCTCCCGAACCCGAAGTCCATGTCGTACACGCCGAACCTCGTCGATCCTGCCACGGACAGCGACATGTCGTCCGCGCACGCCTCGGTGATGCGCTCCACCCACCGCTCCCAGTATGTCGGCTCGCCGCGCACCGCCTCGTCGATGCCGGCGGCGACCGCGGCGCAAGCCGTGAAGAGGCCATCGGCGGTGGTGGTGGTGGTGGCGAGCTCCGTCTCGTGTGCCGTGGCAAAGCCCGGGCCGATGCAGTTGCCGAGGTACTTTTCGGGGACGCGGGGCTCCAGCCGCGACCGGTGGTCGACGGGGAAGACGAGGTGGGCGCGGCCGTCACCGCGAGGCCCTTCTTCGCCGTCGGGCCCAGCGCGGCGGAAGCACAGCCACGTGAGGCCGAGCGTGGCGACGAGCGACGTGCAACGCGGCGGCGCCACGCCGCGACGTGCGGCCTCGCCGGCGACGGCGTCCTTGACGTTCTGCAGCTGCTGTCGCGACAGAGTGAAGGTGGCGAGGAGCTTGCCGGCGACGTCGGGCGAATCGAACGCATGTTTGGCTTCGCTCGCGGGTGAGGCGAACGCGTCGTACATGTCGTTGCGGTCGCGGATGATCGTGCGGTCAATGACGGGTGGCTCCGGGAGCACCCGGTCGCCGGCGCAGGCGGCGGCCCAGGTGTGGAGGAAGTGCGTCGAGCTCACCCCATCGCAGGCGGAGTGGTGGACGGTGACGCCGAGAGCGAGGCCACGGCGGTCGGGCGGCAGCACGGTGGCCTGCAACGCGAGCACCGCGCCGCCCTTCGGGAGCTCCGGGACGAACGTGGCAATCCTGGCAACCTCCCTCGGCTCGTCCGTGTCCGCCAGCTCATCGACGCCGACGCCGACGCCGTCGTGCTCGGCGACAGTGAACGCCACGCCGTCGCCGGGCTGGTAGAAGAGCTCGTACCGGTTGGTCTCGCCGGGCGTGAGGCGGACGCGGCCGGCGAGCGGGTAGAAGGCGTGGAGCGCCCGGGCCAGCGACTCGACCAGCCGGGACAGCACGGCGTCGACGTCGTCGCCGCCGGGGCCGAGGCGGTAGAAGAAGACGCGCTCGACGGGGTGGGCGCTGAGCCACTGCGCGTCCAGGAAGGTGAGAGGTAGAGCGCGCTCGCCTGCGGGCGGCGCCGGCGACGGCGAGACGATCGCGGTTCGGAGGGCGCGGAGGCCGCCTACGACGTGAGTGCGTGGCTGTGCCATTGTGTGTGTCGCCGCCGGACAGGTGGTTGCTAGTGGCTTGTGGTTGTCAGCTGATAACGATTCGATAAGGATTTTGTTTCACGTGGTTGCTCGTGCAGGCGTTATCGACGCCGTGGGTGATCCGGAAGATGCGTACGTGCGGACACATGGCATTTTCTCTACACGAAAAGTGGGCCATGCACTCTTGTACACCTTGCATTTCCACTGGTAAGTGATAACTGAGCTGCAGGAGAGAAGTTGTGCATCTTGGACTCGACCATGCAGAAACCTGCCCCTGCCGTGCAGTGCAGGGCTCATACATGTACACAAGCTTCACGGCTCGAGACACGCGGATCCGCGACGTGAACGGCTCTTCGCCGAGCGACTCAAACCGTGGTGGAACCAGCCCAACCGAAGTCCAACACGGTTTAAGTCCGCCACAAGTATGTAGGCATGTGTTTTTTCCATCCTCGTTTGCACGAATTAGGAAATAAATCTTACGGTTTAAAATTACGTAAAAGTTACGTACACGTTACATTATAATTTTATTATACAAGTTACATTATAATTACATAACGATTCTGTTGTATTTATATTTGACAAATTTTTAGCGATTTTGCTAGATATTTGTCATCAAATTTCTCCCCCTAATATTTATCAAATGTAATTACAGTACAATCATAGTGTAATTACACTGTAACTTACATGTAATTACACTGTAACTGTAATGTAACTTGTATATAACTTTTAAGAATCTCTCGGTAACATGTTATTTCAGTAAAATAGAGTCCCTGGGAACAAATCCTTTCACATATGTGTGTGCTGTGATTTTTTTCTTCCTCACCAGAACAAATCTTGTAATAGATCTAACGATTCAAAATTACGTGAAACTTACATGCAAGTTACACTGTAGTTACATGCAAGTTACAGTGTAATTATATATAAGTTACAGTGTAATTACACTAAGATTGTACTATAATTACATCTGTCAAATTTTTAGTAGAAAATTTGTCGACAAATGTATAGGTGGTCCCATTCATTCTTAAGATTAAAACAAAGGCCCGGAGGGCCTAATCCTAATGATGTAGAGATTAATGATACTGTGCTAAGTTTTGCAAGGGAACACAGAGACATTTGCTGATGAAAATGACGAGCATATGTCCTTTTCTCTTGGCTGTGTTTAGTTCCGCGCAAAGTTTGGATTTTGGTTGAAATCGGAGATGATGTGACTGAAAAGTTATGTGTGTATGACAGATTGATGTGATGAAAAAGGACTGAAGTTTGGATCCAAACTTTGGATCTAAACACAACCTTAGATTATAGCGCGCGCACCATTACACATGTAACATCACACTCACACCCCGTGAATGCATTCCCTAACATATACTTTAAGAGACGGAAACCTACGGCATATCTCTGATCTCACTAAAATTTTGTTGAAAGCCCATCTGCATATACGTAATATTCGTGGATACCAGAACTTGAACCCTTGTGAGTAGAGTCATGTACACACGACTCTACTACCACACCACTGGTACTTTCCCCGTATATCTTTATTTTTAAATGTATGCAGTCACCAGGGGCGGATCCAGAAACAAAAAGTTGGGGGGACTCAACATACCAAGTACATCGATATAAACACATAGTCTCAGTATTAAACTATGCTAAAATGCTATTATAAGACCTTTAACACCTCCTATCTTATCAACTATGATAAAAAAATTGAGGGGGGGGGGGGGCTTAGGGGACTATAATGAAAAAATTGAAGGGGGGGCTTAGGGGGGTATCCATGGGTTTTGTGGGTGTAGGGGGGACTTGAGTCCCCCCTGCACCCACGTTGTATCCGCCCCTGTCAGTCACGTAGATAACTTGTATCAGTTGCTTGATGATTTGCTACGGATAATATGCACAAATTTGACTCGTTCCCAACTCTTCGAACTTGTGCACTAGTTTTCTCTGTGCGTCACGCTATGTTCTCAGGATATTGTTTACTGTATTCTGTGTTCTGTGGATATTGCCTTGTGCGGTTGTGCCTGCCTAGTGCCTACACGTCTCTGTTCTCTTGCTGTACACAAGACGGGTCTACTAATTTTCCTTTTTCCTTCTGTTGTTTGGCTGTCTTTAGTTCCAACCAAAGTTTGGAATTTGGTTGAAATTATAAACGATGTGACTGAAAAGTTGTGTGTGTATGAAATGTTTGATGTGATGGAAAGTTGTAAGTTTAGAAAAAAAAACTTTGGAACTAAGGTTGTGTTTAGTTCAGCGCAAAGTTTGGATTTTGGTTGAAATTGGGGATGATGTGACTGAAAAGTTGTGTATGTATGACAGTTTGATGTGATGGAAAAAGACTGAAGTTTGGATCCAAACTTTAGATCTAAACACAGCCTAAACACACCCTTTGTATTTTGCTAGAAACCTGAACTCGTGCAAACTGCAGAATCCACATGGTCCTATTTTCTGTAGGATTCTGGCGAGGCCTTTTCATGTTAGGCTATTCCTCCATTTGCTTCAGTATCTGTCTGAATAGGACCCGAGATATACTCTGATTATTATTATTTTTTCCCCGTGAGGCGAAGCCTAATGCCGTCATATGCCGATCTCTGTACCCATCTCTTACAAAGAGCTTGTGCACACGCATGCATCTATCTGCTAATTCAAGCCATTTTTCTGCCGGAATGATTGGCAAGCCCCTATATTTTGCAGACACTTTAAGCTGTACTTAGCTGACCCAACGTGTTCCATGCATTGTGAGCTGTGAATCCGTGATCTCGCCAGTTGCCACGCAGTTTAACCGCTGTAGTGTAACAGCGACGTGCAGTTAATTAGCTAGTGGTCGATGTCGACCACCTGGCATGCACGGATGCTAACCTTTTCTTCCCCTGAACATTCCTGCACCCTTCTTTTTGGGGGCAGGGAGATCGCCGCCTCGCCGGAGACGAGACGCGATCAAAGAAGTCGGCGACGGCGACCCTGTCTGCTGTCGGTTCGGCGCGCGTGCACCTCGGCTGGCGGCCGCAAAATAGCGACGTACGGCGCCGCCCGTTGCTGTCGCCGGCCGTGCAGAGTTTCACTTCATCAAGCTACGACTAAGAAACAGCTAGCAGCATCAGCAGAGGTAGGAGTTGACGATCGATCGATCGATCGATCTCCTCGCACGGAAACTTCCTTTTTTCCTGTTTGTTCCAGACTTCCAGTAGAGGCGTCAGCATCAGCAGCAGTGACTATACGAAGACTGAGTCTTTTGTAGAACACGAGCAGTATCATTTTTCTAGCTACTACATGCACTGTGTTTAGTTGGATCCAAAGTTTGGATTTTGGTTAAAATTGAAGATGATGTGACTGAAAAGTTATGTGTATATGACAGGTTGATGTGATGAAAAAGGACTGAAATTTAGATACAAACTTTGGATCTAAACACAGCCATGGTTTACATCTCATGCATGATGTCACAATTTGGTTTGGTCAACCGCTCGATGGCTGCGGTGTGCAATATTCCTGAATCCACGTGCAAAAATGCGCGATCTCGGTTTGGTCGTTACTTAGACAGCAAGTACACATTTCGGCAGGGAACGAACAGTATGATTTGGCAACGGGTGAGACACAAATTCTACGGGCTGATCGAACTTGACAGGGTGGTCCAGTCCTTATCTGGCCTCAATTTGCCTAATAATGCGTCCCTTTCCCTGAAGTTTAATCAAGATAATTTAGCTTAAATTAGTCACGCAAAGCTCACCTTATTCTATCCACAAATAGAAACGGCGTCGTGGATGAATTGCATATCTACAAGCTGGTAAAGTAAATTAAACAAACATATCTATGCATATGCATGCACTTTCCCCGGTGGGTGCTACATGCTACTAATTCAAAAGAAGCAAGTGACAGTATATATCCCTTGTGCTTTCGCACGATTCCGAGTTCAGATTGGTCGGCTGGCAATTGCAGATTAATATCTAGTGTAGGATTATTTGGTGCAACCAAGCTACTGCTGTTCGGGTGGCTCACGTGCTGATCAACTTTCACTAAGAGCAGGAATGCAGGATATGTGCGGCCAGCAGTATGAGTCAGCTGTTGTTTTCTCGATGGATGAGATGACAAGAGGCGTGAGGCGGACACGGTCGAATACAATTACCGGCCGCTATTAAACCGGCAGACGCACACGCAATCCATCGGCCGTGGCCGCAGCACAGCAGGATAGCATCAGGGCACCGGATTCCGGGGATGTTTACGTGATGCGCGCGGTAAGGGAAAGGGCGGGCCAAAGCAAAACCAACGGACGGACTACCAACCATGCTGGGAGCATGTCACCATGCCTCCACAGAGTACTTGTCAGTGACAACTGACAACTCCTACTCCTTCGGTTCCGTAAAAACAAACCCACTAACACATTCTATTACGACAAATCTGAACCGAGTAAGTATATGCTTTAGAATAGTGCAGTGTGTAGAGCATCGACTCACAAGCTACTACCTTCGTTACAGGATGTAAGTAATTTTTTTAGGTTTACACGGATATTAAGAAAATATGTAAAATTGATTAGAGGAAAGCTATGATCATTAAAAAGAGAGAAATTGGTAGGTGGAGAAAGAGCTAGTGTATTTTTTAAACGGAGGTAGTACTGAGTACTACCAACAAGAGCAGTTCCATTTCACTGCACAATCACGATGCACTGTCTTATTCTAGCAGTAAGGCAATGTACATCAGTACAGGTGCCGATATAAGGTTCGGGGTCCATCCTTATTACAGCCGAAAGCTCGCTTTTGCAACTTGAGCTACACTTTTGCAACTTGAGCTGATCGACGGGGTTTTGCCATGTCAAGGTGCAAGTGCCGTTCTGAAACAGCTGGAGTAGCTAGTATAGTGTTTTCTGTCCCAGCTGGTGTGACATTTCGTGATTTCGGTAAAATTCCTATGCTTTTAGACAAGATGAGCGTGAAAAACTTCCCGATGAAATTCATTTGTCGCATGGGCCATGGCATATGTAGGAGTAGGTGCTATTTGCCACTTCTGTTCGAGTCTTCTTCACAGAAAAGGAGTTGTGCTAACGGCATAATTCCACGACTTGTAAAAGACAACGCCTTTATTAATCAGGATCTCCCACAAAAGTAAGTTGTATACTCCTTTAAGACAAGAAGTACAATAAAAGCATAGCTATCTTGGATTGTTGGTAGCAACTTAAATTGAGAACGGATTAAAAGCTTAGAACGTTAGTCACTCAGTTTTCACTAACTGGAGGAGTAAATACAAGACACTGGGAACACATAGTTACACACACCTGATTTACATTTTTTACAATTTTACAAACATACCAACACAAAAAGCGTCAGGCACGCACAGCGTCACGTGATGCACATGTAGGCACATCTGCTGTCCGCTGATCGCAAGATTAGACACACGGTTGATCGCACCAGACGAAACATTAATCCATCTGCCGATGATCAGCTAGCTAGTCCCTATCAACTAGTTGTACTGCTAGACAAGAAGAGCACACACTAGCTAGCCGAGACGAGAGCTAGGAAGGAAGGAAGGATGGATTATCCTTAATTAATCAAGGGCAAATGAACCTAATCAAGAAATTAACCACTGTGATGAAAGTAGCAAGAAGTTTTGTCTAGCTGTAGAGGGTGACGAGGCGGCGGAGGCACCTGGAGCAGGAGTACTTGCGCTTGCTCTTGACGCAGAGCGGGAGGCAGAGGATGCGGCGCTCGCTCTCGACGTCGGTGGCCACCACCGCGCCGCCGCACCGCGGGCACGCCCCGGGCGCCTTGTGCGTCCCCACCACCCGCTCCTCCGCCGCCCCGCACATCGCCGCCACCGTCGTCGCCATCCTATCCAGTCACTCTTATTATCTCGCTAGCCGCCACCACCAGTCCACCACCACCACAGCAGCAGCAATCGACCAAAGCAAAATAGGCTAGGCAGGAGGAGGAGGAGGAAGAGGACGAGGAAGATAGGCCAGGCTGGTGGTTGCTTGGGTTGAAGTGGCCGCATATATAGCGAGGCGAGCGGACAAGGTGGGGGAGCGAAAGCGCAATGGACGCGTGCGCGCGCGAGACGGGGGCTGTGGTGCAGGGGGAGGGGAGCATTTTGCTCGGTGCATCTGCTCGGCTGCACGGGCGGCGCGTGCGTGCGTGGCAGGGGGGATCCGCGTATGGGTAAGCGCATGTGCCGCGATTCTGCCTCTTTTTCCTTCAAGGAGAGGAGGGGTCGGCGGGCCAGCGTGCGCTTTTCCGTCGTATCTGGAGTCAGCAGTTTTATCGATAGTGTAATTTGCTCTTCCCTCTTCGCGTACGCGTGGTGACGTGAAAGAAAAGCCTACGCTGTACGCTTTTGCCTTTTGTTAATTAGAACGGCCATGTTAAGCTTCCATGCGTGATGGGGAGCGTTAGCTATACTAGCGTCGATCACGGTATTATGCAGTCACGTGCGGGTGGAACTGCGGATATCCGAGCGCATATACCACTTTGCTTAAACCTCCATCGATCGATCACAAGGTTTTCTGCTCATCCAGCTATCGGCCTAGCTAACATCCTAGTCTTTTAATAACAATCAACTTAATTGCAACGCCTTTTGGTTTTGTGCCTACAAGAATTATGTAGGTAAGGAGGCACTAGGGAGGCACACCCTTCCCATAAAATTTTAGTTTTAAATATGAATAGTCGAGATTACATTGGCGTTCAGATCACTTATGTTATGTTCTCGTTCTTAAAATGAAAGCTTCATTTTTTTAGCTACTACGTTCATCTGAAACTTCTTAACCCAATAGCATGTTTAGTTTGATTTTACACTAATGCCTAGGATAGTTTTCATCTCCACACTTTCTAGACATATAATTGTTCATGTTTATAGATATGATTAAACTTTCTTTAAGGACAGAGGGGTACTCTCTTGTGAGTATTTGAGAGTAGAGAATTAGAGAAGATTGAGAAGATATACAAACGAGATACTTAAAAGTTATATTAATATATTTTTTTAAATTAACTTTGATATATTCGTTTAGCTATTCGAGGAATGTGTATACAAAAAACGAAGGACTTTTCCATCCAATCTGCTTCCACCTAACACACCCTAATCTGACGTTTGTTGCACGATACACCTCCGCTGGGCCACACGAAAACGAGATACACACATCCTGCGGAGCATCAACGTACGAACGGTCGCCGTACGTTCGCCTCGCCCAACCGGCACGCAGCTTGCGGGGACGCCCGAAAGACCGACCGATCCATCCATCCATCCCTCGTCCCCGGCTCCCCGCCACCAACCGCCCGGGACCGGGACCGTGCCCGCAGCAGCAGCTGGTCCCGCACCCGTACGTGCACGAGCGCGACGTCGTCACGGTTGTTGCAGCCACAGCGCCCGCCCGCCCCCTGGTCCCCCTGATCCCGGCCTCTCCCGCCCGCGCGCGCGCGTACCGTGCGGCGTCGTGCGTGCGTACATGCGTGCGCCGTAACCAGCAGCCGCGCGGATCGATCGGTGGCGCGCCCCACGGGCCACGGCTCGGCCCTCCTTTTGAGGTTGTAAAGTACGCCGTGCTTATCCGCGGCCACGTACTTGCTTTTCCCCATTTTGTCTTTTTTTCTCTTACCATGGGACACACTACTACAGGACGATTTTTTCGTACGATCAAAATAGATTTTCATAGGTAAGTAGTGGGTGATCCACATGAGTCCTTATCGTTTTGTGAGAGGGGCTTGTCCCTCTCTCCCAAACACCCCACCCCCTAAGGTGTATGCAAACAAAAAAATATGTATTTTTACATGTCGGTAAAATAAACGTGTACGGTGTGTATGTGAAAGTTGTACTTTTAGGAGAAACGAATTTTGCAAGTGCGAACAGTCTAGAGGGACCCTCGTCCAGGAAAAAAAAATCTTTTCTAGGTGACAGTGAGTGTTGTAATAGTGACAGTGGGTAAAAGGCGTGCGAGGTGATGGGTTCGTAGTACAAACAATCTACAGCTCTTTTTTTTGGATAATGATCTGCAGCTCTTGTTGTAGTACTACGATAAGCGGATAATCATGCGTAGGAACGAAACAAAAAGTTTCACGCGAAAAAGGGATAGCTGTGATGTTGAGGTTTGGCCAGTGTAGGCCACAAATTTTGACAATTTAACCCTTTAAAAAATCTAATTTTACAAATGAATCCTCATCAAAACTTATTTAAAAAATAACCCTTTTGTTCAGCGTCAAATCGTGTGGCGCTGAATTTAGACACCTCAACACAAATAGCACGGCATTGAATGTCCGTTGGCACGTTGACTCAACCTTCCATCCACGGTGGCATGGCATTCAGCGCCAGTTGACGTGGTGCTGAGGTGTCTAAGTTCAGCGCCACACGATTTGGCGCTGAACTAAAGGATCATTTTTGAAATAAGTTTTGGCGATGGTTTATTTGTAAAATTAGTTTTTTCAAAGGGTTGAATTGTCAAAATTTGTGAGTATAGGCTGTGAGCCAAGCATCCAAGTCACGAGGGATAGTCAGCTTTGTCCAGCTGGCTGGTTTCTTTGTGGTCTTTTTTATTTTTCCCATAGCTTTTGCTTCACACGTTGTTTGCAATGTGACTGTCAACATACCTGTCTGTTAATGTCAACACTAACATGATCTGGAATTTTTGACAGACCATTAGACCAAGGGTGACATGGACGTGTGAAAATGTCAGGCAAGCAAGCAAGGCTAGCTGTGGACTATACTATTGTTAATCCACGCTGGAAGCTTCACCCGAATACGGCATGTGGAAAGGGATATGGTTAGGTGTGTTAAGTTCACGTCAAAATTGAAAGTTTGGTTAAAATTAGAACAATGTGATGGAAAAATTAAAAATTTGTGTGAGTAGAAAAATTTTGATGCTTGAAAAGTTGAAAGTTTGAAGAAAAAGTTGGAAACTGAACCATGCCTTACTTACACTCTTCTATTGACCTAAATATCTTGTCCATACTGTAAATGATTTTATCCATGTATTATTATATTTGTGAATTCTCTTATATTTTAGACGTAGATAGTAGTTGTAGAAAAAATGCTTAAGAGTTTGCACGTACTGCTAATTTATGGGTCAATCTGGGTACGCCGTACGCTTGCTTCTTCACGTTAAGAATTGCAGCATTGTTCCTGGAGAAGGAAAATGGCGAAAGGCCGAAAGTTGCATCGCATGTGTTACATGCATGCATGTTTTGTTGACCAAAGCTTCCGTCCAAGAACGTGATCTCAGTTTTCGTTTCCATTTCAAGCGAAGAGGCCGGGGCCCTCTGTCACTGTGTCACATGCATGATTTTTTTTTTCGAGGAACATGCATGATTTGTTGACCATGCATTAGGCCTAATTAATCATGCTGCCAGAGGACCAGTGGTGGTGGTTGCATTGCATGTATGTAGCTCAAAAACTCGCCAATTAAACCAAACCAAATTGCTGAACTTGTTTTCAGAAACTGGTAATCAGTACAAGACGTGAGATGCACGCGTGTTGGATTAAGCAGCTACCGCGGTGTAAATCAGCCAGCAACACAGTTTGGTTAGGACAAATTAAAAGATTCTGCAAATCAGCGCTTATCTTCAAGCGCGGTATAAGAAGTTCACACGGTTGATCCCTTGTACAGCTTCTACTGCCTCTCACTGTCTGGACGATATTTCCCACGTTTGGGCAGACCAGACTCTCAGGAGGCGACGACGCGATGGCAGCTGGTCAGTGCATCTGTGCATGAACGAGCAGGTTTGATGCCGACGCGCAGCATGAAGAAATTCGGCGCCGGCCCGTTGTTGAGGCGCGCACGCACGTTTGATGCAATTGATGCGTGCCCGTAGTCCGTAGAGAGAGTGAGAGACTGGCTGAAGCGTCACCGAGTCCACCCGCTGTCTTACGTGGGAGCGTTGTAGCCGCAATTGGCAATTAAAAGGCACAGCTCTAGATTTTAAAATTATAATATTAGACTTAAAATTTATATGTTAAATTATAGTAGTTTGAAATTTTATATTTCATCTAAAATATATAAATACAATAATTCATTCAAATGTTACCAACGAAATCACGAATCTAATATATGGATTTGTGAAGCTAAATCTTGATACTCGTCTAAATTCATACCCCATCCCAAAATAATTTTATTTTTCACCGTCTTATTATCTTGAAATAACTTTATCTTTCAAGCAATCATTGTATTTGAGTTTGTGAAAATGAGAACAAATGCATTAGGACTAGTTAAAGCAAAAGGCAATTGCATTGAGATTTGATTAAAAAAAAGAACAATAGTTTTTTATTGGTACGTATAAGATGTGTGAAAAATAAAAGAGTAAATTTCAGAAAACTGTAACTACAGTGACAAAACTATCGTTTGACAAAACTATCGTTTTGCTACAACATTAGTGACTTGTTTCAGTTTGCTGCAACAATAGCAAAACTATTGGTTTGCTATAACATTAGTGACTTATTTCAGTTTGTTGCAACAATAACGTGGGAAATTATCACAAAACTACAAACTTTTACGTGCTATACTGCTACAGGACATGTAGGTGACAAACTGTATCAGCATATCACGAAAAGTTACAGTTTTGTGATAATTTCTCATACTATTGTTACAATAAACTGAAATAGATTACTAATGTTGCATCAAACTGATAGTTTTGTCACTAATGTAGTTTTCTAAAATTTACTCAAAATAAAACTATTTTGGGAAAATATTTTGTGATAGAGATAGGTACCATAAATCCATAATGGCACTCAATCAAATGGTTTAACCCATATATGGATGCTCACCCAGGGGGTTCACAACATTCGCTACCTCTCGAAGGGCTAGGCTTGGAGCATCCTTTTTCTCGTAGCAAGAGTCTAGTGGGGAAGTAAAATGCAATCCGTTTTTATAGACCGTGTTTCAAAATGTCACAAGTCGGGCCACGTAATGAAAATACAACTCCACGGAAGCCCCCGTGTAACCAACAACATATGGACACTGTTAGATTTACATGACAGATCAATAATGCAGGGAGCGCAAACAAGTACAGAAATATAAACTTTCATGGGGTTATTGGTCTTCGATTTATACTCTGAAGTTTCAATGTGCCCCAGAATATCTCATCGTG